GAATATGGGTGAAGCAGAGCATTAGAGTTAAGGGTTTAAAAACACACAGTGTAAGAAACACCTCGGGGCGAAATGTCAGAATGCAGAGAAAGCAGGAAACCAGAAACGTATAGAGAAGCAGAAGAAGGCAAAAACACTAACGGTGTGGCTGGTGTGTTGTTCTGAGTAGAGCTTTTAAGCCAATCATGTGTTATGTAATCCAAACCATGACCTTTCCCTGACCCTAACCAAATTGTTTTTCTGTCTAAACCTAACCAGACTTTAACCATTGAGTGTCAGATCAGAAAACTGTTGCATTTTTGCAGTGTGATTTGTAATGGTTTTGGAAGCACTGACTTTTACTGTGCTGTTTCGGCGAAAGGGGAGAGATTAGATTCCTTTAATAAAATAAAATCTGTCAGGCCTGTTCGTCTGCTAGAAAGTAAATCCACTTGTTACCCAGTAAAGATCATTGGATTAAAAGCATATTGTATGTTACTTCACAGCAAGTCTGTGGAAGTCCCATGTGCATCTATTAGAGAGAAAAAAGAAAGGCGAGTGTTCAGTCTAATAGATGTGTTACATGGGAGAGTTACACGTTCCTGCATGTGTAACCTGTGTCTTTCCGAACGTCTTTGGGCAAACTGTGTATAATTTCTGCTTTTGGTCTCTCTATGAGATGACCCAGTGCACTGAGACAGGTATCAGGGAACAGTTCCACACCTGATCACATATTCCCTGTTCAGAGAACTGTTAATGAAGTGACAGTCAGACAACAGAGATAATAACCTCCCAGTGGACGTCCCACATGCCTCAGGGAGAATGCCTCAGAATGAAATACAGCAATAGACACCAGACATTTGCTCGCATTTCAATGTGTACGGAAAAGAAATTTAAACCTTCTCCATGAGTTTTGGGAAATTTCGATAGATGAGGCAGATTTAGGGAAAGTTACGGCACCACCAAAAAATACAATTGCATCATTTTATCTCTATTAAGCTCTGTGGAATGAAATTAACTTCACGAAAGTAACTGATTTTTTTCCCCCTCCTTTATTGGGTACGGTGATCTCAGTAGTAAAAGTGCCATGATGTGTTTCAGCCTTACATAATGATTTTCCTAGTGAGTCTGCGTTTTCTTACTCTTTAACACAGCATTAACATGTCGGCTTTTGCAATTCGTCGAACAAATCTCTTCAAGCAGATGCATGACATGTGCTTGTGTGTGAGAGAGAGTTATGTCTTGAGCTTGGAGTGTTAATCTAATTTTGTGGCTTCCGAACGAGGTGTTGGTCTAAGTGAGGGTGTTAACAGTCTGCCGCTTCACTGGGGGTGCCAGGCGCCGCTTCCGTCACTGCAGATATTTTCTCTGAGCCACCAGTGTTTGAGAGGAGGAGTACTGCTGATGCTAGGTGAAATGGCAACATGGTGCGAAAATGGCAAGATAGCAGAGGATCTTCATACGAGTTGGGTGTAAAGCAACATCTTAATTTAAAGCGATCCGCCTGTTTGGAGGAAGATTCAAAATGCAACTCATGATATCAAGGTCAATTTTCTACCGTCACTGCAGTAGAATGAAATGATGTGAACAATAAAAGAAAACTGAAATTGTAGATGTTGAGAAAAAAGAGTTTTAAAGGACAGAGATGTGATAGAAATGACACCAAATTCCCCCCCCCTCCCCCTATGAATGTCTATTGTTGTTGTTGACAGTTGCTGTACAGTGTGTTCATCTGCCTGGATGGCTGTGGAGAAATAACCTACAAGTGAGTGGATGGCTGAAGGGGTACAATAGAGCCCATTGAGCCCCCGTCGCAGAAAAAAATGAGGCCTGCTACAATAGCAGTGTTATCTGCGGGGAGGAGGAATGAGGAACTTCTCTGATGCGACAGCCTCACTAACAGTCTCTGACAGGACCCAGGATGCCACAAAGACCGCACTGTAGCACTGTACTTGTACTGCAATGAACAGATCAGAACAGTGTGTGCGTGAGATGGTGTCACTATGTGTGTGTGTGTGTATGTGTTTTTTTTTTTCTTCTTTTTCTTTTATTTATCCAATGCCTGGTTACTGTGCCTGTTCTGATGTCTTACAGTCAGATACATCCACACCTGGCAGCTTCACTGTACAGCTACACACATCTGCTGCTGAGGACTGTTGTTGTTACTGGCATGTGTTGGGCATGTGTGTGAGCTACGGAGAGCTCTTGACTGCTGGGAGAAGAAGATGTTAGCATTCTTTCATCATCAAAGAGCAAGTTTCATCATCTCAAATGTAAAGTTTTAGCCCACAATTACGCGTTCAGTATGTAGAGTAGTATTTGATGTGATTGGCTCGCACTCAGGGAGATTTTGAGAACAAGGAAAAGATCAAAAACTAGTCAAGTCAAGTTTATTTGTAACGCCTAATTTCGCATGCAAAGTCTCAATTGTCTCTACAGGCCCACAACATCAATGATTCCTGACCCAGCTTGAGCTCTCAAAGCAGACAAGGAAAAAGAAAAAGAGCTAAAAAGAAAATCCTAGCACTTCAGGAAGAAATCAAAAAAAGGAAGACAACTCCGGGGAGAAATTCAAAGAGGAAAAACAAAGTCATAGAAAGTCAAAAAGAAAAAAAACATTTAAATTACAAAATAAATTTCTGAATCTGATAGTTCATCTTACCCTCCCTCTACCCGTATCTGCATCCATGCACGAAAAAGGAAGCTTTCCAAAATGTTTATGAAAGGTCTTCACTACACATATCTTTGCTATTACTACTATTGCTGACTGTTATTGTTGCCACATTAACAGCAAATTGCCGAGCCTCAGTACATTCTGAACATCACTGAAAGGCCTGTTGTTAGTTCATAGATGTGGTTGTTCAGGCTTTAGGTAAACCAAGGATAACTAACAGATAGAAAAATGTTGGCAACAAGACTGTTTTGCTGATTTGAAGCTATCGTCGTTGACTCCTATTGTTGATGCTACAGCACATCACTAGCCCTCAGAAACATATGGAGCACATGTAGTTTGTTGAAATGGTCTCATTTCCCTGTGTGTGAGCTGAATTTGAACAAAAAGGATATTCTGGGACAGTTTTGAGATGAGGTTGCCAGATTGGAACTTGGTTTCCCCGGTTTCAGTCTGTTTGCCTGCTAGACCAGCTGTGATGCAACCCTCTTTGGAGAGGCAGACGGAGAACATGCAACCTTTATTCTGAAAAGCCAGGCCCGTCGGGACGACGGCTCCTGAAACAGCGTCAGATGGCAGCGAGGCCTGTGGACATGAGGGGCATTCTGATGTGAGTCAACAACGGCCTCCAAAACTCGAGAGAGAGAGAGAGAGAGAGAGAGAGAGAGAAGAGGAGACGAGAAGAGAGAGGAGACGGGAAGACGACGAAGAGAGAGGAAGAGTTTATACTAATAGAAAATAAAATAGGGTTCGCCGCAAGAGCGTCACAATAATGGCCTGTGTTGTTTTCTGTTGCGAGGTGAGGAGGAAAAGAGGATTTGAGGTTTGAGAAAGCGTGCTGAAATATTCCCAGAGCTCATCATTATTCTGTCACCCCTCCATAGTCAAGTACATCTCCCCTCTCTATTAGCACATACAGTACATCTACAGTAGCAAGATCACATCTTTAGTCCTGCTGATTGGTATTCATAGCAATGCAGAGATGAGTCGTGCTGAGCAGAGTTTGGTCTGTGCGCGCATCAGAGAGGGAAAGAGAGACAGAGAGAGAACAGGGGAGAGAAGTAGGGAAAAAAGTGATTACTTCTCTGTAGTCAAACTGTTTCAAAGCCTCCTCTCCCCCTTCTGTCAAGAGATGAGGCTCACGCTGAAGCTGAGGGCAGGCAGACACTGAAGATCTCTTCCTGTTTTCCAAACTCCTCATCATGTTCTCTCAGAGAGAAACTTTTTTCCCAGCTTGTGTATGACGACTCTGAAGTCTTCCTCTGCCATAAAACTTTGCATGAACTTCCTTTGTTTTCACAAAGGCTTCTGGGAGTTGAGAGCAAAGGCGAACTCTTTTTCATATTTTTGTATGAAAATGTCTGGCGCCTCACTTTTGAGGTTGTGGCATTGCACATCTTTGGTGAAAAGTTTCTGAGGCTTGTGTGAAATTGTTGAGACTGTAAAGACAGTCGAGCATGAACACGGCATCCATCATCTGTCACTTAGCCGTTTGGATTTCAGATTTGTTGCTTCAGACGAATGGAGGCAGTGATGACAATGAAGCTCAGCTCAGTCCAGTTTGTTCTTGGCTTTTTTTTTTAACAAGCAAACTTCACACAGTGTGTAAGGCAGTCAGAAAAGCATTCTAGTACATCATTGCGCTGGTTTTTCCCACCAACACATTTGTTGTGTTCTTAGGCCCAAATGTCCCTCTGTAACCTAAATCTCTATTTACCCTTAACGATTGAAGTGGATTTCACAGAAGAGATCAGAGTTTAAAAATCTGTTTAACCTTTGCCCTATCCCTGAATCCCCTCAGTGATCAAACTGGAATCAACAAAGGTTAAGCTTCCAAGCTGAAAGAACAGGTGGTCCTGCATACTGTACATACATGTGCAATGCTGCAAACACAAGTGAAAATCTTCTATGCCCAAAAAAAGTAGACGACCAGCCATTAATTTGATAATCTGCCTTTTTGATATGTGGCCTGTATTCCACTGTATGTCTTCAATAAATATTGTTTGTTCCTGCTTTAAAAAGGAATAAAACACACAGATGTATTGAACTGAATTTAACTGAATATAATGATTTTGGAGTTATGTAGAAACTCACTAAACTCTCTTAGAAAGGAGTCTATTTTGCAATATTAAGCATTCAGTGTCTGTGAAAGTACCAAAAAAACCCCTCTGCGCTATAATAGGGTAACCGTTTTGTCAAGCAGAAAATCAGTTTGCTCTAGTGCTGCGGTATTGATCACATTGTGAGGGTACATGTCACTTGGATAGATTTCCTTTTAGGCATAAACCCTTCAGAGAGAGCGCCGCCATGTTTTTATTGACCCTTCCTGCCTCTGCCTCTGTTGTTGCAGGTAAAGTATTGAACACGGACCTGCGCCACTACCTCAGTCTGCAGTTTCAGAAGGGCTCGCTGGACCACAAGCTCCAGCAGATCATACGGGACAACCTCTACCTACGCACCATCCCCTGTAAGTGCATCGTACACGGCTGCATACATAACTCCTCATTCGCTGCACTCAAAAGCTCCTTGCGGGCACACAGCAAACCAGGAACGCACACATCATAACCTACTTTAAGTGCTTATATGTTTTTTCATCTGAAGCACCGTATGGGAAGAACGAGGATGTTCTGTATGCGTCGCAGCAGCTGAAAATCCGTCCCACGAGAAGCAGCGTTAACATGTTCCCCTTTCCATTAAGCTATGCGGGACTGAGTCGCACACATCGTACCTGCAAACACAAACTCACACGTACCTAATGCACAGACATTGTCATGGTCTCACAGCTGTCTGTCACACACTCTACGAAACACACACACACACACACACACACACACACACACACTGTCACCATAGCAATCCGGCCAAGGACATCTCTCTAACCCCCATGTAACTTATTTACTCCTGTGCCGTATCAGCACAGTGATCAGAGTAATATTCTTCCCATAAATAACCCTGTGTTTTCACTCCACTGCTCTGCTTTCACGCGCTGACACTCCGCTCAGTGGGCACGTCACAAACTATTGTTCTTTGCTGAAATCAGTAATGGAGGGGGTAAATAAAAAGGTTGGCACTTTGGACAGCCAAGAACAACTGCAGTGAGCTGTGTATGTTTTACAGTATGTTGATTAACATTTTTTTTTTTTTTTTTTTATCAAATATTGACAAAGCAAAACAGCTGCTGATGTAATAGACGGTAGGATTGCTGCATAAAATGGCACCATATATCACTGAAAGGAGTGATAATGTTCATGATGTTTTTGGAGTGGATGTACCAGGTACAATTTGCTTTTTGCCATGCAGACAAAACACCTGGTATCTGTGAAATGTCACTTTCCAGGAGCTGAGAAGAAAAAAAACCAAACAAATACATTTATAGCCCGACGCCTCTGCATTTTCTGTCTTTTTTTCAGATTACTCAAAGGTTTTATGAGCTTGAATGTTGTAATTTTTTGAAACGAAAGCATGAAAATTACCAAAATTAGAGCGACAAGGCTGTTAGTACAGAAAAGGTGCAAATTAATATCCTGATTAAGGTTTGTGTGGGTTGCAGAAATGCAGATTATTTCCCACACTGGTGCAAACATCTCTAAATTTAGAATTACAGGTTTATTTTCTTGAAAATACTTTTTTTTAAAGGTAAAATGCTTCTGTCTGCTGCCAATGTAATTTGCTCTCTAACTTCCTATTTATACATGAAGATGATTCTTGACTTAAAAAGGAAAGGTCATTTCTGATTCATTTATTATAAGGGGCTGAATAAAAAAAAAAAGGAAAAAAAAAAGACATTTTTAAAACACCATGTGACGCGTGGAAGTGAAATCACATCAGCAGGAGACGCTGACTGTGACGCAGTATCTGTAATTCTGAAACTGTGGTGACGTTCACACAGATATATTGGCCTAAATATTTACCACGTCCTGCTGAAGCCTGACTCCGCTCAGACGTACGCCATAATTGAGTGTAGTCAAGGCTTTAGTCATATGTAGAGCGACTGCTCCTGAGGCGATGACAGAGTCTTAGGCACAGCACTGTCACAAACAAGCAGCATCTCTGCTCTCCACCCCCCCCCATGGGCTGGAAGTTGCTCTGTCTTGTTCGGAGGGGACTTGCATGCACAAGTGTGAAAGTTTTTAGGAAATAAGCTGCTTACCTTTCATGTATATTTAATTTCTGATTTTTTTTTTTCTGGAGGGGGAAGGGATATTTTTCTCACCACCAGTACTTCTTATTTTCCATTTTCCTTCCCTCTCTTTCTGCCATCCCTTCTCTCCTTCATTCACTCTCCCTCTTTCTTTCTTTCATATATCTGTCCGTCACCTTCTAAGCTTTGCTCTTTCATGGGCAGTTGAGTTCAACTTGAATTGTTATTGAATTTTTCTTTTTCAAAGCTCAGCAGCACTGGAGGAATCTCTGGTCAGTTACAGCGGATGGACAAGATGATTATAGACTTTTACAAGACTCATGGCATCAGTGATTTCTCTTCCAGGAACGCTGCAACCTGTCATTCTCACCTGCTCTTTCCTCCACACACATAAGCCTCTCTGCTCTGCTCTCAGTCACTCACACTCACCTGTACACAAACCCCCGACATGAACTACCACCGCGAACATGGCTGTCTATTTTTTTTTTTTTTAATGTACAATAGTGGCGGTTATTGAGGTTTTACAGCTCGTAACCACCATTCATCATCAGCAGCCAGTGGGCTCGCCGCATGAATCTGACTCTCTAATCCCCTGCTTGAATTACTGTCTTAATGAGCAAGAGACCAGGACTCGCACAGTGACGGCACCTCCATCATTCACTCGCTCTCGCTCGCTTTCAGTCTCCCATCCTTCACCCTCTCTATTTCACTTTCACTCTTTCTCTGTTTCAATTACCTTCGCCTGCCTTCTTTTTTTTTAAACTTGGTTTGCTCCTTTTGGTTTATTCATTTCTGCACTTTCTGTACACTTGATTTTGTGAACATCATCAAATATGAAAATATCAAAAATTATAAAAGCAAAAGCATTTTGCATTCATTCAATTTACTAGTGTAATAAGTAGTTAATAACAGGGTTTATAATCACATAAATCTGCAGTTCTTATGTTTAAAGATCAACACATTCATTAAGAAAGTCCATATATTCAACTGGTCCAGAGCAGGTTCCTAGACTGACCCCTGCCATCAATATATATTTTTTAACACATTTCCTCTCAAAGTATTTATAATATTCACAAGATACAAAGTTTGAAGTTCAAACATCAGCTGTCTTTAGGAGTATCACTTCAGCACTTTTCTCAAGAACTCAAGAAACTACATGCATTTCCAGGTCTCTTTTGTATGACACTTACTTCTGCAGAAAACTTTCTTTAACCACAGTGGACCACAGAGGAGCTACAATACAAAGTGCATGTTGAGTAATGGGCTTGTCTGTTTCTCCCAGAATTCACTCTCCCTCTTGCTCTCACTGCAGTTATTTGGCTCCAGCAGCTCCACCCTCTAAACATGCAGCCCAGACTCAACTCCTCACCTTTTTGTTGCTGTGCACCAAAAAGAAGAGAGAAGTCATTTTCTCATCGTCAGAAATCAATACTTGGGGTAGAGGTATATAAGGCAGGTTGAAGGAGTAGTGGTACGCCACAAAATTACAAATTACAACACAAAAACAGTTTCTAGGATGTTTTAAACATCACAATTTGACGATAAATAAGAAAAAATCTGTGGGTGGTTTTATACCCAAAATGTGTGTGACAATCACAAAAACAGCAAGAGGATTAGTAGAGATAGTTTGTGTCACTGTGCCAGTGGTCCACTTTAGTTAACAGCCAAACTGCTGTACTTCCATACAACTGCAGCTGATCTGTGTTTGTGCATGCTACCAACACTACAGAGTCAATTCTGCTGAGGTCAAGCACTTTGTGGCCATAATGAAAGTATTAGTTTCTACTTTTAGACCAGTTTAGTTCAGCATAGTTCATGTTGAAAGAAAAGAAATATGAAAGACAAGGCAATGACAGACTTGTCTGTACTGGAGGAATAGACAAGTGAGGAGAAGAGAGACAAAGAGAGCAAGGTCTTATACTGTCTATGTGTGGTAAATCCCTGTGTCTCCTTCACTGGGTTTTGGGATGGGCTCCATCTCATTTGGATTCTCACAAAAACACCAGAGGCTCTCAAGAGCTCTGGAGAGGACAAAAGGAGGACGTTTTTTTTTTAAGACGACAGAGAGCTCAGGGTCACATGCAATCCCTGGACTCCCCACTCAGATTAGAGATGGGCAGAAAGAGTTTGATCTCTCACAAACTGTCCATCTCAATAGTGTGTGTGCGCGCATACACACACACACACACACACACACACACACACACACACACACACACTGATGGTGCAGGTACACATGCAGAGTAATTCAGGGGGAATCGGGACACGTCTTGGACACATACATCTCTGCCCTGTGACCTTTCTGCTTAGAGAGATTCTGCTACCATTTCAGGAGCCGATCCTTTGTTTTCTTTTCATATCTTCCTTCTCCTCCCTGTCTTCCTCAGCTGACCGTTATTGTATTGTAGGATAAAAGAATAGAAGGTTTTAAATAAGTTGTTTTGTATTTCTTAACTCTGTGTCATTAGTTAAAAGTGAACACTTTCACCATCATCTGCCCCCGGCAAGAAACCACATCTGGCGGCAGAGAAAACGTACAAATAGCCCCTTTAATAACATTAACTTTTTTGAGGAAGGGGAGTAAATATCTTCTCGTTAAAGGAAAGACAACTCAGTCTGCCCGTATGTTCATGTTTATTGGTTTGTTGCTGTATAACATTTGACAGGCATGATAGATATCAGGTTGTGTATAATGCTATGATGATGTCACTGCGATGTTTAGTAGCTGTCAATCATAATTATGTTTTATACATGGTACAGCAGCTTTGCATGGATGGTTCACTTATGTTTACCTGTTGGTAATTCAGATTATTTTTTCCTCTGTTTGTTTCTCAGCCACAAACGTTGAAGCTAAAATGTATTAGATGAAAGTAAGAACAGGAACAAAGGAACCAAACTCTAAAGAGCAGATTCAGGTACAAGCTACAAAAACGAATAGAAAAGAAATAAAATGGCACTGTTTCTGTCTTGCTGCCTCCACATCCACAAACAATCAGGGGCTTATGTTATGACCATGAATAAACATCACGATCTAACCTCTGTGCAGCACCAAAGCCATGCAGAAAAAACTGTAGCCTACAAGATTCTGCTTTTTGTGCCACCCCAAAGTGAGTGCTGGCCTCGACCTGTCCACCCCTATGAAAATTGTTTGACTCAACCACTGCTCTCCCGTTCCCTCTTTCTTTCTTGCCATTTCAACAGCAATGCCCTAATCCATCTTTTTTTTTTTTTTTTTTTTTTTTTTTTTCTTTTGAAGCACCAACATAAAACTATGCACGAAATCACCATGTTAAATTTAAGGCCTGCCATTTCTGACTGACTACCTCTGATGTTCCCGTTGTGACATCCTCCAAGTCCAGACGGTTCGAAAAATAGGTCTCAGCAGTGCACAGGCCTGAGACCTTGCAAGACTAAATTGACAATTTGTTTCAGTCCAGGACAGACAGACACATGTAAATGCATAGCTTCAACCTCACATGGCCATAAAATTAAAGAAATAACTTGACATTTTGAAAGATACGCTTTTTCACTTTCTTCCCAGGAGTTAGATGAGACAACTCTGTGTCCAGTGATGTTTATATATCCATGTAATGAGGAAATGTTGTTAATTTACATCAGTGAAATGCTCACTGAAATGTTTTCCCCTCAAATATCTGATATTGCAGTACAACATCCAGTTGAGGTGGCTACAGCATTGTTAAACTTTTTTTTTTTTAAGTTTAAGCACTCACAGCACTTGGTTAAAGTTAGGGAAAGTAAATGGAATGGATTGCACTTATATAGCGCTCAAACGGCTTTACAGTGCAAGCCACATTCACCCATTCACACACACGTTCATACAGCGCTTTTCCCTACACATACAGTATAGCGCTTTTCTACCATACACGCACATTCACACACCCATGATACATTGAGGGGAAATTTGGTGTTCAGTATCTTGGTCTTGCCTAAAGACACTTCGAAATGCAAACTTGAGTAGCCAGGAACCAAACCACTGGACAACCCGCTCTACATCCTGAGCCCCAGCCGACCCGATTGTGGTCTGGTTTAATACAGAAAAAGTTATGTTGTTGGTAGTTTCTTTTTGGACAGAGCCAGGCTAGGTGTTTCCTCCTCTTTCCAGTCTGTATGTTAAGCTAAGCTAACTGGCTCCTGGCTGCAGCTTCAAAATTATGAGAGTAGTGTTGATCTATCTATCTCTTGTAGCTACACCTAATACAATTCAAATCTATTCCCTGATGTATCAACCGACACTGTGAATAACTTGATATGCTGACAGAAAATCTTTGTTTTCTTTGATAAAGCCTCTCTACACACAAGCTCCTCTCTTGTCTTGTTTAATTAACGGCGTTGTATTGATATTATATCAATGCACTGTTACATTTTGTTTGAACAATCAGCCTCCAACAGTGTATTTGAAGGCACATCCAATGTGTCAATGTCTGTATTGCAAAGGAAAGTACGACAGGATTTTACAAAGTTCTGCTTTAAAAGATTTGATGCTTTCACTCGGCTCTACCCTCAAAGCTCAGCAAGCCCTCATTATATTGTCAGCGAATGATCCACGATAGGAGACTTATGGTATATATCGGTGTGACATCCAGGATGATGGCTCAGGGAGATACTTGGCAGGTACATAACTGTGGCTCAAGTAATTGGGCTACAGGGGACATCTTTGAGGGACCAAAGCCAGTGCCAGCAGGCAGACAAGTTGGTAATGAGAAGCAGCAGAGGCTGGCATTCTCACACACGATGCAATGTCAACAGCTTTTGGTAACGCAAACTGTGGTATCAAGGCACATTGTGGAAGGAAAGCCTTTTTTTCTTTTTCAAGAAAAAAGATTTTCCTCCTCTGCTTGGGTGCGGGGAAGCTGTCACAGTCCAATTAGCGAGGAAATATGAGAGTGGAAAAACAAAAGGGAATGGCAACATAAAGTTACTTAATAGGCCATTGGGCCATCACAATCTGCACTGCTAATTGGTGCAGGCTCCACAAATGTCAAGAAATTTGTGGTCCTGGTCAAAATTATTGGCAGCCCTGAATTTCAAGTACATAATTCATATGTTAAATTAACCAATTTTGTAAAACCAGAAAATAAAATCATCCAACTTTATTGAAGAAAAGAAAAAAAAACAACTTAATAGTACAAATGAAAAATGTACCTTAGACACAATTATTGGAACCTTTTTACTAATATTTGTGTTTCTTTGGCAATAATGACAACCTGTCATCATTTTTTAACATCTACAGCTTCTTGCAGCTGTCTCCAGGTAGTTTCTCTTCCATTGCTATATGCCTCCAAGCTCTTTTAAGTTTGCAGGAGTTATTTTTGCAATGGCAAGTTTCAGCTCTCTCTAAAGTTTTTCACTGGAATTTCGGTCAGGACTCATTGCTGTCCAGTTTAAAACAGTTCTTCTTCTCCTTTTCAACCATGTTTATCTTATGTGCTTTGGGTCGTTATCCTGCTGAAAGACCCAAGACCGTCATCTCTAGTACCGGAGGCAGCAAAGCAGCCCCAGGGCATGATAGAACCTCCACCATGTTTTACTGTAGGTAGCGTGTTTTTTTCCTTATCGGCCTCATTTCACTGCCTATAAACAAACTGATGCACTGCATTCCCAAACAGCTCTACTTTGGTTTCATCTGTCCATAGAACATTATCCCAGAAGGACTGTGGCTTATCTATGAAAGTTTTTGCAGAGTCTTTCTTTCACTAGTCGTGTCCTCCTTGGCTTTCGCCCATGGAGCCCATGGTTCAGGCTGAAACCAGATTGCTCCAGGTCGGCCTGAAGCTGATGTTTCTTCCACAATCTGCACCAACCTTTGCAGACTTCTCTCAATGAGTTTCTTATTATTATTATTATTATAAAAACTTCTTCTTCTTCTTCTTTTAGGGTGCAACTTATTACTTTTATGACTGTGAATGAAGATTCATTCACTGGCTAATTCAGGTCATGTGAACACTGAAAATCAAGAGCTCTTACTTGTTTTTTAGCTTGTTTGAAAAATGACTTTAAATTCATCAAAAGACAATAATTGTGTCCAGGCTACAATTTGTGCTTGTGTTATTTTACTATTATGCAAGTTCTCTTTTGTTCAGTAACCTTGGACATTTGATTAAATAGTCTGGTTCATTTGCATTTATTCCTGGAGATATTCTGAATTATGCACTTGAAATTCAAGGGTGCCAACAATTTTGACCAGGGCTGCACTGCAATATGCAGCAACATATTTCAGAGAGTGCATCGTAGTCGTAGAAGAATATGCTATTTAAATTTTAGTTTCAATGCAACATACTGTTATCAAACAGATCAGCGAATGTCCTCAATGTATAGTTAATACATAGCCCTACTGTTGTTTGTTGCTGCTACTGTGTCTTTTTGCTGTTGTACGGAGGTATACTGGGGGTCAAATTGCCTGAATGTGTGAGAGAATATTCAGTCATTAAACTCTGATCCTGATACAGTACATACTCCGCTTCTGACTCATCTCACAGCAAGACATTTTTGGCCTCAGTTGAATATCATTTCAGTGTGCTCTGATTTCCTCTGACATAGAAATCAGGTTGATCTGAGGCTTTAAATTGCCTGCGTTTCTGAATATAAATGACTATTTATGTTAGCCTCTGCGATCCACTGGTGGTCTGCCTGAGTTTTTTTTCAAAGCCCTCCTCCTACCCTCGCCCCTCTGTCCTCCCTGCGACCCTGAAAAGGATTCACCAGGCTTAGTGAATAAATGTATTTGTTCCATAACCACGGGTGACAGTAAATTTAGGTGACAGAGATTGCTATGGAATGTGGCACAGATGATTGGTTCACGCTGTGCGCTCTGTTCAGCCTCCCGTGCAATAAACAACTGGCTGTCTTTGCTCCTGCTCAGCTGTGGTTACTTCTATGGAGTTTACAAGTTTGGTGGCGCACCACCTAATTAGCATTGAGTGCAATCGTGACACAGTCCTGCTTATCTATTCATGGAATATGGTTTACATAATCCTCGTGCTAATGTAATCATTCGGTGTCCATTTGAGCCTTGTGGATATTCATCTTGGGAAGAAGAGAACTCCTGTTGGTATTGAAATAGACTGGCTTCACCGCAGGAGCAAAATCTGCACTCAGAATGGCCTCGTGTCATTTGCATTGACGCTGCAATCCATGGGACTGAGGGAAACTGAACCACACCAGGAGGTTACACAACCCACTGCTTCCATCATATTTCATTCCCCTAATTTTCTCAGCTGTGTTTTTTTTTTTTTTCATTTCAGCTGTATTCAGTACATATATCAAAAACCTCCCAATAATAACTTGTTAGCAGAAGCTGCAGTTAGTCAAAAAGGATTAAATGAATTACGTCCCTCACTGCTCCACAGGCCTTCATTAATTATCCATCTTTCACAGGATGGCACCAAGGTCTTTGTGGCTCTTTGTTCTAATATGCAATACCCACCCTTCCTTAAATGTGCCACAGTGTTGTGCAGAGATAGATCTCAAAGCCACTGTTACAAAGGGGATCCTCTGTGTCTTGTGAATCATGGATGATGTCAGATGTCAGTTAAAGATTGTTCTCAAACTGCAGTGCATCTGTAGTGAACTAAAACTTTATATTTACAAGTTCAGCAGCCAAACCCATGATTGTTGCATCACTGAAAGACAGGAAGCAGATGCTCAATAAAGAACTGGAGCTGGATGTTTGTAATTTTGCTTTAGTTCTGTGAAAACCTTGAATGTGTTTGCGTTTCACTTGATGAATTCAGCTCCGAAGCTGTGAGCTGATGTCATTACTGCAAAAACACCCTGTTTTCACAGATGCTCTAAAGTCTCCATCTCCACCCAACAGCAACATTTTCCACACGCTTGTCTTATCTACACTTGTTTGCGCTTATGTTTCTTATCTGGAACATGTTGGGACATGTATGTTTATGCGTTTCTCTTCTTTTCTTCTTGTTTCCCCAGGCACCACGCGACTTCCTCGAGAGGGGGAGGTGCCCGGCGTTGACTACAACTTCATCAGTGTTGGCGACTTCAGGATCCTGGAGGAGAGTGGCCTTCTCCTGGAGAGTGGGACCTATGATGGTAGGTGTCACCGCAGTGTTAAGGGTATTGGAGACCTGTGTGTGGCCGCATGCATTTACCTACAAGATTCACGCTGACAGCTCTCTATAATGGACTGAGGGTAAGCTCGATATTCACAGTCAGTATGACTTACAGCCTGCCTTTGTGAAATGGTGACAAGCAGGATGAAATGTATTGATCAGTGAAACATGATTAAAGACTAGTTGGAAGTGACAGGCAGATTAGCAGCGATACTCGCAGCCCTTGAGATGAGCTCCACTATTCAGTTTCTGCACTCTGTGTGTAGAGCGGGCCACTGAGGGATGAAGTATGCAGACCTGAGATTTAAATATAAATGGAAATACTGTAAAAATTCGCACAAGGGTTTAACTTTTTTTTTTTGTCAGCAAGGATTAACATAAACCTTACATTTGTCAGAAAGTAAATGTTTTACCAGCCAGCCTTTTAGAGCCAGAGAGAACCAGCAATGACAGGTGCGGTGCAGGTTCAGATTCCTTATTCTGTCCCAAACACTAAAACAGGGTGTAGGTTACCGTGATAACCACCATTGCAGTCATATGTCTGGTGTTGTTTTTGGGATTGTGAAGTTTTACTGACTTAAAGAGGAGTTTACATTTTTACCAATACACATATTACACATTATTTCTTGACTGAATATCTTTTCATGTGACTGTGATAAAATACAATTCAGGAAGATATACCTACAGAAAATGCAACTGCAGATTATGATACATTTTTTGAGGTGCTTGGTCTCATGACCTTAGCGTTTCTAAAATCCCGGCTACAGCTGGTTTCCTGAAACACTGATCTGAGTTTGAATCTGGCAGAAAAAGATCTTTGACATACGTCAACCATTCAGTCCATTTTAACTGCTAACTGCAGCTACTTGTAAAGGCCAAATGTAACAAAAGTGGGTTAGTTGAGCATTTAAATGTGGCAGAAGGTTCATTAAAATGTAAATATGCAATATGTAAGTGCTAACTGCATCACACACATGCAAAAAAGGGGCAGGCTGTACTTGTTGCCTTTTTATTAAGTCTCCTGAAATCCTTTAGGGTGCTACCAGCTAGAAGTCCATTGAATTATATGGGCAGAACCTACATGTTGTCTTCTTACATTTTTCATATAGTGAAATCATAAGCAACGGTCCACTCACGCAGAGAGAGCTTGTTCTATGTTTGAATTTAACACTCATGCACACTTGTGGTGTGTGTTGGTCTTTAAATTTACTTGTGTGGCCATGTACGTTGCTTCCCTCTGTGTGTTCTATGAGTCTGTGTCAGCACCTCTGTGTCCGCTCTTGCTAATACAGTGTACAGTACATATTCACACAATAATGTGGGAGCATGCAAGCAGCTGTAGCACCTGATGGTGACCTTATGTAAACCAGTCAACCTGCTGATCCCACCGGCTGGCTGCACAGTCACACATCAGGAGGTCCCGCTTGTGTTCTTACTCTCAAGTCGTGCTTTATTCATGGGATAAACCAGCCTTTTCCTTTTCCTCCCTCTCTCCTCTCACAGACCTCTTTTACTCAGCCAGTTCAAGGTGGGAATGTCGCACCTTTATTCCGCCTCGCTGTTCTGTATAAAAAGTAAAAAACACGGAATAGGGAGGGCATTGTTGTTCCGCCTTTATGCCAGCCGTGGAGGCAGTCACGGAGCCAAATTGATGTCTGCGGAAAAGGTGGGACAGACGTTGATGCTGTTGTGCTACACGTCACGCCGCCATGCTATCTAAAATCACACACGGGGGCGGCTTTATACCGGCTTTGTTTGGCTCAGTGTAAACAAGCAAAGGCAGCATAATGGACGGCCTTCTTATCGGCGAGGATCTCTGTATAAAAGCAGCTACAGACAGATACACGCACCCCTCCCACACCACCTCTCTTAAAAAAAAAATAATTTCATAAATGTTCGTTTGCCAGCATGTAGCTGCAGTTAACATGTGAGTCAGTTGTGACTTCTACTTAACAACAAGAAGACAAGAAGAGGCATGTTCTTTCCAGTAAGAAGTTTACACAATGAGGGATATTCCAGCTGAATGGCCAAATATTTACCATTTCTAACACCTTACACTACAATGAAGCATAAGCACTTGCCCTGCATTCAGAGGTCTTAGAAAGTCAGACGGTCGCAGTGTATTTGTGTCATGAGGGGATTGGAACGGAGGATTTCTCTCACATTGCGCAATGATTATGGCAATAACATGATAATCTTCCTGCTCTCTTTAAGCTCATTCTTTCTCACTGCAAATCCAAGCTGCTGTAAAATGGGAGAGGATTTTTCTAAATGTTTGAGGGGCAAGCTCTGGTCGCATGAATGGACCTTCTTCTGCACCATTCTCCCATTCCCATTCAGCTGCATCTTGTGCTTCCTATATGATGGAGAATTAAAAGATAAAGTCAAATCCTCATCCAGAGAGAAAGCGCCTTAAGGCTGACAGCAGCTTCCTCTGGGTGTGCACAAGTGTGTGTCTGCATCCGTGTATCTGAGGAAGTTTGTGTGTGTGTGTGTGTGTGTGTGTGTGTGTGTGTGTGTGTGTGTGTGTGTGTGTGTGTGTGCGTGTGCATTTACGGATGGTGATGTGCATATTTTAACATGAAGCGTGATGGGCCTGTTGAGGCAGTTTTCTTCCAACAGTCCCTGATCCCTGTGATAAGGTGCCAGTCCCCCCTACCCTCATCTTTGTAGCACAGTGGCAGCAATGACATTAGACACACACAGGTATACACACACACACACGCACACACACACACACACATATGAGGACACACTTGTACATCTTTGCACATATATAAATCCCGTCCTTCCTTGTGTCGGGACAGATCATCTAAGAACTCGAAGATCAGGTTTCAAGAGCTGCCAAGTCGCCCACAAGCTGTCCTTCATCTCTGAGCCGGAGCCGGGCGGGATTTACACCTTTTATAGAAAGGTTCACTGTGGGTAGAGGGGGAGAAATGGAGAGCGAACTGAGGAAGAGCATATGACAGAGAGCGGGTGTTGATAAAGAGGCGTGCTGAGCTCCTCCGCTCCCAATGGAAACCTCCTTTCCTGTGGAAGCAGCACTGCCTTGGCGGCACGCAGATGTGTGGATTAGCTCCTCAAAAGTTGGAAGGTTTCAGTGTATACTATCCCTGAGAGAGAACTGAACACTCTGATAGTGGCTGCCCCCCCCCCCTTCTCTTTCTCTTAAACCTAGTCAGCACAAGCCCTCCATGGCTAGTGTGGCAGAGAGTGTTGATCTCTCAGCGGCACAGTCAACTCAAAGAGGAGCTGGAAGTAATTGGATCGTGGAATGGGATTTACTCCATTTAGTTGTGCTTCAAAAGCAGCCTATTTTTTTCTTGAGAAAAGAGGGAAATAAACAACGCCCTCTTGTATAGGTCACATGGGTTGTATTCTTCCTGTAAAGAGTTCATGAATTACCTCCAGTTTAAAAGTGCACAGTAAGTGAGCTGTGCTCAAGGTACTAAGCTAATGGGATTCTTAGCTAATCATAATGGTCTCACTAATAGTCCCAAATGACTTGCCTGAATGCTCATTATGTTAATGGTTCATGTATAACAGTTTTTCTCTACTTAGAAGATATTTTATGGGAGTCATTTAATGCATTGTACAGATAATTTCAATTTAAACACTCTCTATTCTCCTCTTTTATAAATCACCCTGTCATCTGTGACTCTGTGTATCCATCACCTTCTCTCAATAAATGCTGATCAGAGGTTAAGACACAGCACACATGCATACCTAGCCAGGGTCAGACTGTTTCTGTGGGTCCAAGCTGCTCTATGAGTGTTAGGGTACATGCCAGCTACTCCATGTTGGTCCTGAGGGTCCCAGGTTGCCTGCCAAGCAGACACATAAGCCATCTGTGCCAGGCGCTGAGAGCAAGTCTCTCTGGACTTGTGGTCCCTCCTCAGTCTCTGTGCCTCTGAGGGTCAGGTTGGGACACTCTTTCAGAGCAGCAGGACAAGAGCTGAACAGTCCAGTGCAGTGAAGTGCAAGACTGGAGGGACAACTGCCAGGAAAATTAAATTCTGCACATAGAGAGGGTTTTTTTTTTCTTCTGACAAACGACATTGCTAATCTTCTACCAGGGAACAGGAAATTCTGCCAAATTGAGATCCACTTCAAACCTGTTGTTTTGGAATCCCCGTTGTGATAATGAGTCAGATTTAAACAAGGAAGGAAAACAGACAGTGGATTAAATTGGGTGTGAATGGGAGAGCTGTATTCATACATTAGATGTGATGTGTGGCATACTGGGTGGATGGATTTGTGGTTGTGTAGCTCTGTAACTGTAACTGTCTGCTCATGATCTTGGCGAGATAAAAGAGCGCTCATGACCTTGTGTAGCTTATGCATAGTGCCCTTGACAACAGGAGTCTTTTTATTACGAGTAGCTGATTTCACCACCATGAAATTGCTTGCACGCACTTTGAAAGAGGAGGCTCACTCTTCCTGGCTCATCAACCCTGTGACACGAGGATCACAAGTAATGTCAGACGAGCTCCCCTGCTCATCAGCTTATGAGGCTTCCCGCCATTTATAATGGCAAATGGTGCCACAAATCTTCACTGACACGCCGCTTTCACACACCTCTATATTTGCAACGCACATTTATTAGGGGGCCAAGAGACATGTTTGTAAGTAATTAATCACAGGGGTAGCGTCTGTCTGATGAATGTCAACGTGTGGCAGGAGACAGGCGGAGATTAGCCAGCAGACCCAATCTCTCCTTGCTATCTCTCCTGTTAATGAAGCCATCCTTGACAAATGCGGATGAGTGTCGCTTAGTAAACAGAGAGTCGAGTGACAGGGAGGGAGGGGGCGGGCTTTCATCCAGCCTCCTTCTCCTCCTCAACCTTTCTGCTGCTTTGAGGAATCTGAGCATAGCTGCATTAACCCATTTTGCTGTTTATTATAGTTGGCACGCCTGAGGAGATGAAGGCCAGACTCAAGATGGGCTCACTTATCAAAAAAGCGGTTGTGATGTTACTGTATCGTGCTGTAAAGCCACTGGAATGACTATGATGTTTCCTCAGAGCCCTCTGTTCTTCCTGGCATGCATGCCGTTGCCGTCTTTCCCTCTTTGTACCGAGTTATAAATGATCTGGAGCTGATAAATGCTGCCCTTATAGTGCAGCATTTGTCATGTCTGCATGTTCATGCTTAAGTACATCAAAGGTTCATAATAGCACGGTCCCATACGCAGCTGGGCCCAAATGAAAATAAGATCAAGTTTATGGAGGCTAATTAAATTGCTGAAAATCCCTATTTCCCAGTGGTGCCTCTCCCTATTCTTTAATTAATCTAATTATAAATCATGATTTAGCTGAGTAGACTCAATCTGATGATTGCTTATTGTGGGAACTGAGTAAATATTTGACCTCACAAATGGATTGCCAGAACATTAATTTGATATTATTGCATAAACACATCTCACAGAGAAGCATTTAGCACACAAATAATCATAATAAATGGTAGAGATAGAAATTAGTATGCACATTATTTATAATCCTAATAGAGGTTGAATAATCACCACAAATAAATTGAGTTTCACATACTGCTCACCAGCCATACATAGATGGATCACCCCACGAGCTAAATGAGCAGATGATTTAGCAAAGTTTTTCAACCCCCCCCTCCCCCTTTTACGGAGTACTGTTATCCCACTGAATAATTATAATCCGTAACACAAGGTTTTTCTTCATTAGGAAAAAAAGCAAGCTGAGAGATAGATAATTGCTGTATTCAATGATCAGTGTAATTAGTTGCTGGCAAATTCCAAGTGAAGTGATTTTAATGTTACATGAGTCATGACAGCCCCGTAGTGCAGTTATCGAGGGAAAACAAAGCAGGGGATTAAGAGACGTGAACGTCATGCAGAGGAAGCAGACTTCTGAAACTTGTACATAGTCGACCATGAGTGATGGCTGGTGTGTGACATTCAGGGAATTATTTTTTGATTTAAATCAGGTGAATCGGAGTGATGTTAGACATGGTGGATGGTTTCTCTGACTGCGGTTGTGTTATTTTAAAAGTCTCTCATTCTCTTATTCTTTTCTCCATCTTTCTTTTTCTCTCTCTCTCTCTCTCTCTCTAAGGTAACTACTATGGGACCCCGAAGCCTCCCGCGGAGCCCAACCTGGTGCAGCCTGACCTGGTGGATCAGGTGCTGTTTGATGAAGACTACGGTGGCGAGGTTCCGAGGAAACGCACCACCTCAGTGAGTAAGATGGACAGGAAGGACAGCGCAGTCCCTGAGGAGGAAGATGATGATGAGAGGCCACCGCTGGTCAATGGATTGCCTGGTCAGTAAATGTCAAAGCACAGAACGTCATGTTAAATAACAGAGATTCTGCCGTACTCTGTTTATCCTTTGGTTGTGGAATTGCCACTTTAGGTCAAAGTCACTGTCTGTTTGTCTCGTGAGACATAAAGACTTTGGCTTGTTGCAGATTGTGTAGATTGATCATCTTTCTTAAGCTCGTATCCCATCTGCTTCTCATTTATTTGTCAGTCAAGGTTGTATTGTGTTGTAGACCCAGATCAAATTATATTTTACCCTTTTTTTTTTCTTAAAAAGGTGCCAGATGGGGGAGATTTGTTACAAATGGAAATGTAACTATTGCTGCAAGTCAGTTTGATATACTGTTTTGTGTACATGAAACTGAACTGATTTGACCTTCAGTGCTTTTTAAAGGACAATTTCCCCCAAATTCCAAAACCACATACCACTGTTGGTATCTAACCGTGACGATATACTGTAGTGATGGTCTTATTTGTGCAGGTGTTGGAGATTCATCTCTGTCTCTGAGATTTCTGCCACCAACCCTACACGATGGAGGCGAATGTCATTTTGTTTGTGGTGCTCAGAGTAGAGGGTCCAAATAGATCCGTGCAAAAGCTAGTTTTAAAAAAAGGAGTCATGTTCTGAAAAGGTACCCAAGGAAAGTCAGAACCTGTCCACAGTAGACCCAAGGATTGTTGGACTTGGATGTGGATCTGGACCTGGACCTGTATCTGGGCCAGAGAGAACATAACACACAGACTTATGGCAATATAATTTGGACCTGATTTGAGCTCCAGGGTTTTGGTTATTATCAATCTCCAACATTTTTTGTTGGAGATTGATAACAACCAACATTTTTTTTGTTTTTCATTTATAAAGCACAAACATTTGCTGGTTCCAGCTTCTTAAATGTGAGAATTTATTGCTTTTTCATGTCTTACATAATAGTAAACTGAGTCCCTTTGGACTGTTAGTCAGAGCAAAATGGTAACACAACCATTTTTGCAGATATTTTATAGGCAAAATAATTAATTGATTAGTTGAGAAAATAATCTGCAGATTAGTCGATAATGAAAATAAACATTAGTTGCAGCTCTGTTGTAGATAATCCACAGACCTCACTGTCAACGGTTGTTTCTCAAAACCTGGACAAACAAGATAAAAAAATGTCTGCGTGGCTAGATAGTGCAGAAGTTAAACTGTTTTGGCTGATTAAATCATTTAATACTGGTCTGCTACTGAGCTACGTTCAGTGACTTAACAGGGTTCACATGTTGTCTCCAAGGTGACAGTTTTCTCACACGTATTCAAATGTGATAGCCACACTGCTAATAGATCTTCCACTTGCAATGCTGTTACTGTTACGTCCTAATATACTGCCGCACAGGTCACCTTGGGAAAGTGTGATCCAGAGAGCAGGACACCGTGTATGTGATCAATCAGGACAACTCTTCAGCTCTCTACGGAGCAAATCCGTCCTTAATGCTGACAAGGAGAACAAGCCTGCAACAGAAATAGGTTACATACTGTGCGCCATACCTGGGTTTTTTAGAGTAAGAGAATTGGGGTCCAGGCTGAATTTTTTTTTATTTATTTATTTTTTTTGAACTGAATGAAACATTGTTGTGACAGTCACGGCGCAAACACTGCTTGCTCAGCTGTACAAAGGATTCACAGAAATCCAAAGTCTGTTTACCCAACTGTTCTGTCATATTGAAATCAAACACAAAATGATGCCCGGACATCCAGGAGTTCTTTTTATGGAAAGAAACCAGTCACAATTGACTGCTCCGCTACAGCCCACAGCTGTGGCAGAGGAGTCTCAGACCAGCCATAGATGGGCAGAGTTATGGTCGAATGAAAAAAGAGGTTAATGGAAAATGTGAGCTCTAAGTCTCTAAACTCTTGACTGCAGCTTCTCCCATCTTCGCTCAGACTGTCGTTATCAACCCCCCTCCCTCTCCCGCTGTCCCTCCATAACCCATCTGACTCGTATCATGGAGTGGGCCCTCACCCTGCCGTGAACCTTTACTGAAGACCTCAGTTCTCCTCAAGGCTCTGCCCTCTGTCTGGTTCTCCAAGTGTTTACATGACTGGAGCAGATGCAGTATTATACGTTTGTTGTCTTTAAATGTGAAGCCGTGTTTCTGATCAGAGAGGCGAAAGAAAAAAGCCTTTCAGAAACTGCAGATAACTAACACACTGATGCTGCTGAAGGGTTCTGTGGTTGAATTTTTAGCAATTTTATACCCAATCTAAAATTCAGGTGGAAAGATCTTTAGGAAATACATCCCCCAGAAATGCTTTTTTTGTGGTGTGCATGACATATTTTGGCATTATCCTCCGTTGTGAGGAGGTTAGCATCACATGAAAAGAAAAGGATGAAAAGCATTCGTTTTTCATCCTTTTATAACCGTCTTCTGAGGGAAGGCATGAAGTGCTAAGTGAATTAAGAGGGCCTTTGTTGTATGTTTCATGTTCATTGTAGAGCAGCTTCTCATTAAAGGGGAGTGTCCACAGATGCAGGAAAAATGTATGTGAAGAGCAGCGGTAAAATATTATCATACAGAAACCGCCTCAGGGTTCAAATGGCCCTATCTAATATGTATCCCTGTCTCATCATTGCAGCCCACAGGGAAATGCACACATACACATAGGCCTAAGAATTAACAGTGTGCGCACACACAAAATGCAAAACAGCCCTTTGGCAAAGACATGCACACCATCACTCACATGCAAATCCTATGAGTGATATAAGGCCTCCCTCCGCTCCCTGCAGCAGGCAGGAAACCAGAAGGGCAGAGGTGTTCCTGCAGGCAAACCTTCCTCTCTGGTTTGCTCTGTTTTCTCCCCATTCTTCCACTTTTTAATCCACTCTTCGGCTCCTCTTTCCAGAGCACAAAGAGAGGGCAGACTGGCGGAAAGCGGTGCCCAGCTATACCCAGTCCAGTAGCTCCATGGACTTCCGCACATGGAGCTCGCTTCCTCGCGATGACAGCCTGGAGCCCCTGCCTCTTAACTGGGAGATGGCTTACACTGAGACCGGGATGGTCTACTTCATAGAGTAAGTGACAGACGCAACCCACTGGTCATGTGAACAATTTAGTGCTAAAGCAATTAGTCAGTTGACTAATTAATGTGCATCAACTGAAATATATCAGCATTTTTTGCAATAAATTACTGTATTTGAAATGATTTATCAAATAAAAACACCACATGTATCATCGTCTTCCAATATCAGGATTTACATCTTTTATATATGATTTTAATTTCTATAAACTCTCGGTCGATTTGGGTGTTTTAACTGTTGTTCTGGAAGAGGAAACCTTTGGGTTTTGAGAACACATGGCCATTTGTACTTTCTCTGACATTTTAGTTACTAAACAAGTTATCAAAAAATTAATCAGCAGATTAATTGAGGATGAAATCGATCATTGCTCGCAGCACTGAATACATTTTGCATTTTAGTGCAAACATTTCAATGAATCCGAATTTATAAAACACATTTAGCTTTCACATACTGTCAAACCCAAAAAATTCAGACATTACTGCACACCTTAAATTGGACATTATAAATAATATCCCATGTAATTACATGTATATGGAGTTTCAACTGTAGGTAGCCTGAGACAAGGAAGGACAGCTGACAGTCTGACAATATTTTATATTTTTCTTCCTTTCCACAAATGCCATTAGAATTGTAAAATGTTGTGTTTTCCCATTAGAAAAACAAGAATTGTCCGTGTATCCAACAACTCTCAGTGAGCCACAGCATTGCAGTGGGTGAAACGTTCCTTCATTACCATGAACATATCAGTCCCACATAAACTGGCCTGCTGCTCCAAACACTAATTAGTGCAACATGTGTGTATTATTCTGCAGCTGAAAATTATCCCCAACAAATGCAAATCACCCCTGTTTGAGTAAAGTTGTTTTAGGAAATTAGTTGTATAAATGAAACTATATATTTGTGAGCTATTAAATATTTACACTGTCAGTTTGAACCAGTGGACTTGGAGTCTCTTCATGTGATGATAAGGAAAGTAGAATAACAGAAGCCAAAACACAAGCAGCAAGAGGAAGCTACACACATTAGCTTTGACTTTAGTTTCATCAGGTACAGAACAATCTATGCTCTGAATGATAAGTGTTGAAATTGAGGGCAACTGACGACTTGAGTGCTGTTACTTATGTTAATTATGTCATCTTACAACTGCAGTGGGGTAGGCAGCAAGATGTGATATTAAAAATGAAAGTGATATTTGTGTGTCTGATGTCATAGTGTATTTGTATTTACTACTATCTATGCATAATGAAAAACAGATAAATGTGTCTGTCAGTATCAAATCAGTGTCTAATCAGCCCAGCAGTGGGGTTAGGTTTGATCCTGCGTGTGTGTAATGATGGCTTTGTGATCTACAAGTCAACAGCTCGACAGCATCACGTTCACATAAAAGGGAGAGAAAGAATGAACTGGGTACAGTGTACACATACTCATCCTTCCATGATAACAGACGTGACTGACAAGAGTTTAAATATTTCTAGGCCCCACTTTGATGGAGCTCAGAGCGTCAAGAAGGTGTAAATACTCCGATTTATTCCCACTGACAGCCACAGTTGTTTCACTTGCTTTCTTTACCAAACGACACAGCTTTAAAATCCCAGGTTTTCATACATATTATTAAGCTCTTTCTCTGAACCAATCGATGCTTTGATTTTAGAAAAATCGAGTAAACAAACCTCTCACAGAGGGCTATACTATATGTGTGTGGGAGGACATACAAGCACACGTGCGTGTGCGTGCAGGCCTGTGTGTTTTATTCATGTTTGGCTCTAAGCCACTTGTCTCTGAAAATATCAGAAGACCATTGTGATTTTCCTCCTGATTACACACCCCAGTTGTTTAACGCATTTGAGGATAAACGAGTTTGTCGTGTTTCACATTCAGAGGGTTTTTTTTCCCCTCCCGTCTGAAAAGGCCACCTAACCATAAACACAGTAATGTGACAGCTGAACATAAACCAATGGATCAGATGTTTGTTGATGAATCCAGTAACCCTTGTGCACAAGAGCATATTACACAGGAGAATACTGTTGCTGTTCTTCTGTTCTGGCACGTCCTTAGGTTGGCTACTCCTGGTTCAGCAGCGATTTCTCTGCTGGCACATGCTGGTTTTTATTGTTGATGTTTCCTGGCTGCTCTTTTTGCTCTGCAGTCACAATACAAAGACAACTACGTGGCTGGACCCCCGCTTGGCAAAGAAGGCGAAGCCCCCAGAGAAGTGTGAGGATGGAGGTATGTAGACTTGCACTACGCAGCTAGTCTGCTCAAGCATACAGTCATTCCATTAGCTGCTGCACATGTATTTACACAAGGGCAGACCTCTAGTGTATTTGCCATACATCACGTGATCCATCACTTCACATATTTTCACACAGTTAATCAAATAACCAGACAGGTAAAATATGACAGTGTAACTTCTCTTCCAAAATGACATGTCACCCAAGATTAACCCTGAACATCACAGTCAAGCAGCTTAATTTTTCTGAAATCTAGTGCTGAGGTCTACTTTAAGGAATTCCAGACGTGCCTTTGTATCCCCAGGATGCTAATGTGGGCTTAAGTGCAGGCAGAGACAGTGAGTGGCCACGGCTGAAAGAGTGGGACCCTTCCAGCTTGGTTTTAATGGACTTTTACAGGCGGACGGAAAAGCGAGTTGGTGTGTTGCTTCTGAAAAGCAACTCCAAAGCTCTCTCTTGCGTGAAGAGCTCTTTTCTCTCTCTCTCTCTTTCTCTCTCTCTCTCTCTCTCTCTCTCTTTCTCTCTCTCTCTCTCTCTCTCTCTCTCTCTCTCTCTCTCTCTCTCTCTCTCTTTCTCTTTCTCCCTCCCTCTGCCTGATATGTTCATCAGGGCATGATGTACATCAGCCGTTTCATCCGGCCTGCTTGTTGAAACCACAGAGATGTTCACTAAATTATTGTAGGCTATTTTCATGGCTACTTTCTTATGCTAAATGTCCCAGTCAGGGGGAAAAATACACTGGTAGCTACTGCTGTATCTCACCACCATGTTGAATGGGTTACAACTCCCAGATGACTGTCTGCTAAATACAGTGCCTACTTTTCGTCTTCTGTTATCTTTGTGTGTGTGCCCTATTTGCATTGTTCCACTACACAATGTAACATTATTTTCTTTTGCAGAGTTACCTTATGGCTGGGAGGAAATTGATGATCCGCAGTACGGCACATACTATGTCGAGTAAGTGTTATGCATCTATTGATATATGTAATTTCCAGGGAGTCCGGTTGCCGTCATCAGAAACAGCGTAAATTGTCTTATCACAGATGCACATAGCGCACAAACACATTTCACCAGAGGCATCACAGCACAAGTGCACATTACACTGCTTAGTGTACATTAGCAGTGGACCGGCATAAATCAATACTGTCTAAAAATAAACAAATGGATCTAGCACACAGCTCATTTTGGGTGTCTCAGGTGAGGATGCTCTGAGTTATGTAACATGCAGACAGGAAGCATTTACCTGGAGAACAGTTGAAGATTCTGATCAGATTTTCCCATTGTTTATCAGTGGGTGGCAAAATGAAACTCAGCGGGTAACATCGCAGTGACCTGCATGTGAACACAACGCTGATTGTGCTCTCACTGTGTTCTGCCTGTGTTTGTGTTAGTAAGCGTGTGTATAGAATGCGAGTCTGGGTATACGTCTCTGCATACTGTTTGTATATTTGTCTGTGTGCAAAGTGTGTTTTGGTGCTCAGCACCGCAGCGGGAAATCAGTGAAACACAGCCATTGTAACAGCAGTGGGGAGAAGTGGGGAGATTTTCAACTAGAATGCATGGAGGGTGGAGAGTGGGGGCAGGAAGGAGAGGTAGCAATCTGTTGTGATGAAAAGAAAATGGGAACGCTCGCGTTGTTTTATTGCTCAGACTGCAGAAGGATCCCTCCTAGGTAGAAGTGACATGAGAGAGAAACTCACTCTTTAGACAAGGAGAGTCAATGGCACATAGATAGAGCTTGTAGCTGCCAGTGTTTTAGCTTGAAATGAGCTCACTAGGAAACAACGGCTGCGGTTTGCATGCCAGGGGACAACAGGCTGTTTACCTTGTTGTAGAGGAACAGGATGTTGCTGGCAGTCACAGGGTTCATTTCCTACAATATTAAATGGCTAAAAGCCATAGTAGCTTCCCCCCATAAAGAGGAGGCAAGCCAGCCTTTACTGTATGTGTGCTGTGTTTATGAACGTATTCATAGTGGCGCCACTATAGTCTCCGTCTATTAGAAAATCATGGTTGCATTATAGGGAAGGTGCATACGTAATTAATTGCAGAAAAATGGTTATTCAGACCCCTTTACTTTTTGCACATTTTATTACTCACTTAATTTTTATTTATAAAATGTATTAAAAACCAAAAATGGGTGTGTTTAGAAGTCTCTCCTCTTAAATCTGAGTCTATTGATTTTTTAGCCACATCAACCAGAAAACCCAGTTTGAGAACCCGGTCCTGGAGGCAAAGAAGAAGCTGAGCCAGGAGACAGCTGTGATCCAACAAGCCACGGCAACACCTTCTCAAGGTAACGACAGCCCTGCAGAACATGTCCCCCTCTTCAAATTCCTCTTCATTTGGATTGTTAGGAGGGAAAAAAAAAACATCCAGTATGCCATAACAAAAGAAGAGTTCAATAAAGGACACACAGAAAACTGTTACGACCACACTGCTATTATAACACAGTGACCTTTAAAAAAAAAAAAATACATCTTGATATTGCAGCCTGTCTCCCTCAGGTTTAGCAGACATGTATATACATGTGTAACTATAATTGCTTCCACCAGCTTTCTGACTCGCACTGTCATTGTCTGTTTGGGAAAGAACAAGAATTTCCAGTAAGAGTGACGCCATCTAAAATGATGACACACTTCGCTGCTGCTTTAAGACCTTGCACTACACTTTATAAGCTAATTCTGCCCTTATTGTGCTCCTGTTAATTGACCTAACACTTCTGTTATTTCACTTTTATGTATGATATTCCAGAACAATAGGAGTAGTTTTGGCTTTATTGGACATTTTCACTGAGCTTATTCTATTTCTGTACTCACTGTAAATCACTCTGGACATGAACACCAGCTAATTGTCTAAACTATAATTGTAGTTTAATTACGTTGGCTTATACTCTGTGCAGAGGCTGACCCTTACACCTCAGTTAGTGTGCTGTTGATAAATATGTTTTCTGGGAATAGAAAGCAGTGGGAACGCCATCGCTTCACGCAAGGTCAGCTGAACGTGTCAACCTTCAAGTAGCCTCAAACAATAATAGATTGTCAAAATCAGTCTTTTCTTCCCTGGTGCACTCACATAATACATGTTCTTGTCAGCTCGCCTGTAATGGTCTGTTCTTTAGGTTGACAAGCCATTTTTCTCCCGCAATAAACATTATGAATTAAGTATGTTTTCATTACCATGGATGTATAATAGATTACAGTGCTGCAGCAGTGGAGATAGACAGGCTAGGGCTGGCGGGGATTCAGGGAGTGAGAGAGAGGGAATGCAGGGGAGGAGGGCGGCTTTTAGAGGTGCATGTGGCAACAGCTGGTGGACCAGCACGTCAGAGAGGCCAAGCATAATCAGACATCTCTCTGCTCAGGTGTGCGGGGACTGAAGAAACTGCCGTATCGCCCCTGATTACCGATTACACAACCTACTGAGCTGTCAGACGGTTGCTATGATGAAACCAAAGCATCGTCAGTTGGCAGTTACACCTCAGGCAAAGATTCAGAGTTTTACTGTTTTCCAAGATATGAGATTCCCAGAGAGATTTATTTTTATGGAAATCAGTACTGTTAAAACACAAAAGAGATATAAACTTAAATAATACATATACAGTGAGTTCCAACAGTCTGATACCACTTTACCATTCACTAGAAAAGGAAAGTTGTCTCCGACTTTTGGACCCCACTGTCTTTATTTAACAATTCTTGTTAAATGTTATTTCTCCATTCTAATTTTTGACGACAACGGGTTTCCTTGACCTAATTTCTATTCCAAAATGCTGTTTTTCAGCACTTCTCCCAGTGTCATTTTAATGTCATGGAGTCTTATTTATCGGTTGAATATTGGCAACTTTCAGGTCGATATATTTACATGAGGTGTTGCTATAGGAGACTATACTGTGGCGTTTCCCATCCATATAACACACCAAGCTTTGTGTTGAGTTCCTGCATTTTTCTGATTTGGTTGTCGACATTGTGTACTTGGTACTTTCCCCCGATGGTCAACTCTTGGCCTCACTTTTTAGATTCTGCCGTTCAAGGTGCATTCTTGGAGACAGCAGCTGCTGTTGCTCCATTGATGTAGTAAAGAAGATGTCTTCCCAATTATGCTGAATAATGTCACTGGAGATTTACGACGCAACTGAGTCACACATGAGAAATCAAAAACCATGGTTGTTTGACGCGGTGGATCTGATGGTTTTGTCTGCCTCTGGCTTTCAAAGTCTGCCCACAAACATTGGCACAAAGACCTTCCTTGGACTCTCCCACACAAGTGCAGGCTTGCACACGCCACACTCACTTCCTCCCTCTGATTCTTTCTCTTTCTCCCTCCATTACCTCTGTCTGTTCCTTAACACACACAAACGTGCAGTCAAAATGGTTATTTCAGCACACACTGGGGGGAAGAAAAAAAAAACATTCTGTGTTGCATTTATCAAGCAATTTGAATGTGATTATGTAAATGAGCTTTGCTTGATCCATGCAACAGTGTGGACATCTGGAGTCCACGCTGGTTGTGATAAGTTACGCTCACTCACAGCTGTTTATGTCTGCGGTGGACATTTGTGGCTGCTGAACCATTTGATAGTCTGAGAGCGGCTGCATTTAAATTCCTCACATAGCCTCCAAAAGTTATAGTGTTTATAAAAGTGAAGGAAATGAGAGGGAGAATGTGCAGTTCTTAGTTTTCCTGCCAAACTGCAAAGATGCTTTCCCGGTCTTGATATGGAAATGAGCTCTTTGTGATTGGAAGTCGCTGTCCACTCACCATATGCGCAAGACAGAGATAAAGAGGAAGAACTGGGAGAAGATATGCACCTTCAGATTTACATATGCACAGCAGTCGTTTTCGGGTGAGCCATGCACATGCTTTGGTAGAGTCTTCTAAAATCCAGTTTCACTGGCACATCTCAATAGTCTCATCAAGGTGTACATTTTGCCAAAGGAGACAGGCTCAGGCAGGTTAGGATTAGCCTTAAGATTTGTTGACAATAAGAAGAACATAACCTTATCCTTTAACGTGTTGTTGGTGAACATTTTCACAAAGTGTAACTGAGATAGCAGCCTAACAGTTTTAACCAGCATGGTGGTAGTGTTAATAATAATGTTTTTTGGGATTCAACTAGTAGTTATTGTTTACTGAAAATTAATGTTAAAAAATGAATGCAGTTATTGTTCATTTAGTGTTTTATCATATTCTTTTCAACACAATGAACTTTCTTGAATAACACTTTATTTTAAGGTACACATATTCACCAATTGTTTATTAGCATGCATATTAGTAGCATATTAATGCCTTTTTCTACATTACCATAGTCTACACCTACTAGGCCATTATCTGAGTTTTCCCCTAAATAACCTTCAAATAACTGTTTATTGATGGTAAGTCAGGAACTCCTTGTATATGAATTACAATCCTAATATACTCAGTGAGGAGTTACAGCTTGAAAAAAAATGGAGGTTTTGAGATTAGATGCACAGGTTATATTCCCATTCAGTGGTTGGAGTGCAAAGTCAGCACACAAAGAAATATCTCCTTCAGAGATTTCCAAACGTCTATCTATCTATTAAAAGCTTTTTTCAAGGCTAAGAACTTAAGAATAGGGTGTGTTTACTGCAGTAGTCATGTGCCATAATGGATCTGAAGTGTGAAGAGGAGGAAGGAAACCTGCGTGGGTTGTGTCAAACTACTAGTGAATTATGAGCAGGACTTAGTTTAGAGCTATTTGCTCACTATTAACGCTCGTAGTTTTCTGTTTTGTTACATAAGAATAGACCATATTTGATTAACAATGGAGTATTAGAGACTATTCTTGTGGGAAAACTCTTAATTAATGGCCTAGTAGTTGTAGAATATGGTCGTGCAGAAAAAGAGCTTTATGACTAATAAAGAGACAAATTCTGCTAATATGCATGCTGATAAACAGATAGTTAATGGTGAATATGTTTACCTTTATATATAGTATTGCCCATTCTTCACTTTTGTAATACTAAAAATAATATAACTGATACTAACATATTAAGTAGATTTGTTTATTGCATATTTGTCCTTTGAGTCCAGTCATTTTGCTGACTATTTCTAAACGTATCATGATATTTCTGGCATCCCAGAGACTGACAGCCCCATCACATTCTCCCAGTATGAAGCACAGTCGCTGCACCATTTGTCACTGGCTGCCTTCAGTTTTACTCTTTTTGAGTCGAAACTAAAAGGCAGTTCAGGCCAGGGACCATCAGGCAGCGAGGAAAAAATGGTGTGTCCATGATCTAAAGTGCTGATACCACAGTAATGCCAGATAGGGAGGCTGCTCAGTTTAATGCAGTGTGACCCTGACTGTTGGTTATCTAGTGTATTGCGTATGCCACAGCCAAGCTGCTGGTCCATATTGATGTTGCCATTGACCTTAAGTTGTTCCCTACTCAAGTTATAAAAAATCTACGCCGACAAACCAATTTTTTTCTGAGTCACTGACTGCAGTATGGAGGGAACAGGAGAGGACATCTTCCTAAATTGGACACTGTCAGAGGTGTTATATCACCGTTTTGCTCTATAGTCTTATAATGGGAGGAAGCAAGTAAATTAGCTTCTAAAACTAACATCTGATATCAGTTTATCTGTGTGTTTGTGGTCCTCTCTGAGTACGAAAAGGTCCGTATTGTTGGGCTTATGTAGTTTAGGTATATAACATCATGCCTGTTAATTAGAAAAGACTAATTACTGTGTTGATCCTCAGCACATAATGCATATAATTGACTTTTAATGCAGACATGGATGGATTTTGCCGCCTTTCAAGAAGGATACAAATTCATTAATCAGTGTTGCTGCGTTTGATGTCGAGCACCGTTTGGAGATTTCACTTGTGTCTGATAAAGCTTGTCACTCGTTCAGGATTTCCCTCAGGAGTACACCTCCCACTCAAGAAACACTTCACACACACACAACCCTTTTACACACATACACTCACTTGTGCATTTCATTGCACAGGTAAGGGCGCTGCGTCTGGCTTCACGGCGGACCCCGGCCAGCTGAAGGGGGAGATGTACCACACAGCGCTGAAGAAGAGCTCCCAGGGGTTTGGATTCACCATCATCGGAGGTGACCGCACAGATGAGTTTCTGCAGGTGAAAAATGTGCTCAGCGACGGCCCTGCTGCCCACGACAACAAGATGGCGTCCGGTGAGAGGAATTTCTGCAGATGCACTCTCACAATGTCAAGAGTCCCCAAAGGAAAGGGCGAGATGGAAAACGTATACTCCTGTTTGAATAAACATTAAAATCCTATTTAGCTGGCAGGAAGATCTATGAGTTTATAACTGCTCATTTCTACAATATTACTTCAGCCAGATTGTACCAACTATGATGCACCTGGAGGAATTAGTTTTACCTCTGTGGTGTCCACTTAACCTAATGCTGTCCCCAGAGTTCAACAAGACATTAACAACAACTCTAGTTCTGGCAAGGCTATAGTTTTCTAGCAGACAGTCTGATAGGTGGGTGTGAAGCTATATAACATCTTTGTTGTTTAGTTTCTGATCTTTCCATTGCCTCCTGTATGTCTACATAAACCAACAGCTGTGAGCTGTGTGTGTGTGTGTGTGTGTGTGTGTGTGTGTGTGTGTTAGTGTGTTTGTGTGTATGATGGTTACAATGATGCAACAGAAATCTACACTCATAGTTGTAGTTGTGGCAAAGAGTGCTGTTCAGATCTGTTCTGGAGTCAATGAATGAGGGACAGGAATAAAGTAGGAATGGATGGTAGACTGATGAGAAAGGAAAGAGGTACAGGGAGCTGCCAAAATGAAAATATGAGAGAGCAGTGAAGAGGAAAGGGATGTGTTAGAGGTAAGATTTGTCTTACAGAGGAAGGAAGAAGAGCTTTCCAAAGAAATGTACAGCAGTGATGTCTCGGTTAAATTCCAAAAGAAACACTGTCACTGGCTTTCTTTTCTCTGTCTTAGGTGATGTGATCGTTGAGATTAACGGGATGTGTGTGCTGGGGAAGACTCATCCAGAGGTGGTGCAGATGTTCCAATCCATTCCCATCAACCAGTATGTGGACATGGTCCTTTGCCGCGGTTACCCGCTCCCCCCAGATGTGGATCTAGACAGCGACGACCCTCTCCCGCCTCCTCCTCCTCCAGCTGCTGCTCAGCCCCAGCAGCCCCTGCATGGTGGAGAGGTGGTGACAGCCGTGCCCCTCATCAACGGACAGCCGCTGCTTGTGAAAGGTGATGTCCTCCATGGCTCCTCTCAGGAGCTCCACTATGTCACTACGGACGCCAGCGGCCGGCCGGTCGTGGCAGCTATGCCCAACGGGAGGCAGGGGGAGCGAGGAGAGGTGGCCTCGGGGATGCTACAGCCGGAGCTGGTGAGCGTGCCGCTGGTGAAGGGCCCGGGAGGATTCGGGTTTGCCATTGCTGACTGCCCGCTGGGCCAGAAGGTGAAGATGATCCTGGACGCCCAGTGGTGCCGTGGCCTGCAGAAAGGAGATGTCATTAAGGAGATCAACAGGCAAAATGTCCAAACTCTGAGCCACGCTCAGGTGGTGGACATCCTTAAAGACCTACCAGTGGGCAGCGAAGTCAATGTGCTCGTGCTGCGAGGAGGTGAGAGACTGAAACAATAATAAATCTGTTTTTGTCTGTCTGTCATCCATCTGTCTATCTGACTGTCTCACTGTCATTCTGTCTATTTATCTGGCAGCGTGGAGGCTGTATATCCATGTTGTTGTTGTGTTGTGCTGTGTATCTGTCTCCTCCTCCTATCATTGTTTAGCCATTTGTTTATTGTCGTGCTTGTAACGCCTCTTGTGTGTGACATAATTTGCTGTTGCTGTCTATACAACTTCAACAGTGTCCATGGGAGGTGAGGTCAGAGTGCTGATACTGACAGGAGGTGAGGTGGTGTTGTAGCTAGGTGGGGAATGGGTGGGTGGGGGGGCTTGACTGACCACACACTGTTGTTCTGTAGACGCCTGGGTGATGCACTGTGTCTGCGGTCTGTATAAGGTCACCACAGTAGAGACTGCTGCCTTTTTTTGTAGCTGATTAGATCCACCTGCACTTCTGTAGCCAGTGTAAATGATGGTCGGACCTGGTCTGTCCGAGTCCTATCCCTGCCATCAGATACATACTCAGACTGTACATCTCCAGCATTCCTCTTGTGTGTCTCCACTCAACCTGCCTCTGTTTATGATGACTCCCATTGAGGCATAATGCAGTCTGTTACAAGTCTGAGAGTGGGAATTACATAAGTGTGGGGATGTGCTCGATTCCAAGGGAGAGAGGGAGGAGGGTAGACACCCTTCAAATGTCTCCTACATCCATCTCCAGCCGCCCCAGGGATTCAGCGCGCAAGTCGATGAACTCGGATTGGCTTTGATCATCAGCAGAGCGCAGGGGATTTCTGCATGCCTCTATATCCATGGCCCCTTAAAGATCCATGGCTAAATGGCTATAGAGGGAAGGTCCCCAGGGGCCTCCTCCCCGTAGCTGCGCCCCAACCCTCCTCTCTTTCTCTCTCTCCTCTCCTCTCCCAAACACCCACACTACTCACCCTCGCTGCTGTGCCACCATCACCGTGTCCTACTCCACTGCCGCACTGCATGACCTCACAGTCAAAGCGGAGCTGGACCCAGCCTCACTCAGCCCTCCCAAATGAAGAGTAAATGCCAGTTTTAAACCTCATTAGACAACGGCCTTTGGCTTTGAGGAGGATCCCTGTGTTAGAGTGGTGGACATCACACTGAGCAGAAGAAGAGTCGGCCTTAGAGAAAGGATGGAAGGAGGACTGTTGTGGGTGGGTGGGTGTGTTTCAGGTGTGTGACATGTTCATTTGACTGATTTCATGTGTTTGATAACGCTCATGCTGGATTGGGAATTTTGCAGTAAAGCGGAAAAATGCTGCTGCGTCTCCCCTTTTGCATCAGGCTCCACTTAACCCCTCATCAGACCAAGTGTTGGTCTGGCCCCACAGGGCTGAAGGCTCCAGAGGAGTGTTTGTTAATCCAGTTAATGCGGGGAGTTGAGGGGAGGGGAGCGGAGGGGAGGAGGGGGCTGTAAGAGATGATCTGTAGGGAACAATCTGAGCGCTTGAGATGGAACGTGTGGGTGTACTGTACAGAGAGAGGGAAGAGAATTATCGGTCATTGAATTATATGCATGAATCTCTAACGCTCTCACCCGCTTCCTTAGCCCTGCATCGGGCTTGCACCATTGCAGTCAGCACTCCAGCAAATGTACAATCTTTATATTCTCTATGTATCTTTAATCACACATGGATGTATATTCCCTAATGGAGCATTCTTTAGTGAGTACACCTCTTGAGTTTAGAGCAGCTCACTAGGTTTATTTTTATGCACACTGCTGCTCTTTCTCAGCCAGAGAGGCAGTGCCATCTGGTGGCCGGTTGCTCGGCGATGGTTGTTTGTTTTTCCAAATCATATCTGCATTTTTACCATATTACTGTTGTCTATCTGTGTCCCTCCATAGGTCAGACATCCCCTGTGAAGAGTCTAAAGCCTGTGAGTAAAAACATATCTTTTCCTTTTTCCTCACTATTGTTTTCCCCTCAGGAGCTCTTCCTCCAATTTAATTTCAAAGCTTTTTGTCCTTCAGCTTAACCAGTAAGCCTCTGTTGCATCGAATTAAATGATAGCAATAAATTTGAATATTGATTATGTTTCTGGGCGCCTCCTTTTGTTTGCTCTGAAAAACGGTCTTAATTACTTCCTTTCAGTATTCGTATTCTTAGGGCTATTGTCAGGGGATTGCAATGGTAATGAAGCATGGATGAGCCTCTTTAGATATGGTGGTATTATTAATACAACAGTTTTAGATAAAGAAGTTGCCCTTTCTGCCTGAATAGGCCTGTCACAGCCACAGGGAAATCTTTAGTTTTTTCCTGTGGATTTTATATTACATTCAAATCCCATTGCTTAGCCCTCAACACAATAGGAGGAATGTAGAGTGAGAACAGTCGAAAAGAAAAAAAAAAAAAGAATGAAAGAACACCGGTGACTTGACCTTTATTTCTCTTGGTAATCTATCACCATTAGATGCAATTTGTCTGCGATAATGAGCTGCAGAGACCATCCATAAATGTGCTTTGTTCCTCATTGGTGAATACCAAAGGACGAGTGATCCAATGAAAATCTAAAATCAGAATCGTAATCGTATGTCGTCCAAAAATAGTAAATATTTTATTTTATTTTTTCATTTTTATACTGTATATATTTGATGCAATATGTGGTGTTGGCGACACACGTGTTTCTTTTCAGAGACAGGAAATGACAGCCAGCACAGAGACTTTGGACGGTATCACTGACTCAGCTCCCCAGGCCTTGCCTTACCACTCCAACACGAGCACCCTGCGCTCCGCCGACTCCCCCAAACGAGACGCCACAGAGATGTACCTGAAGTCAAAAGCCCTGCTGGAGAGCAGACGTAAGTGTAGACCGACACCACTTGCTCTCATAAGTTTTTTTTTTTTTTTTTAACCCTCAAGTCCTCTTCAACTTGAAACCTTGATCTCATGTCCAATAGTGATACGGTATTACTCATCCACAGAGCCTCACACCAAAGACATAGATGTCTTTCTGAAGAGAGACATTGAAACAGGCTTTGGCTTCCGTGTTCTGGGAGGAGAAGGTCCACAGCAGCCAGTAAGTATACACAGTATAACACTCCTCTATGTGTATTTTAAGCATTTTAATCTTTATTATGAAGAGGTTATAAAATGAAGAAAGCTATCGATGTGTATTGTAAAATGACTTTGCCAGCTCATAAAAAGGTTTTATATGCCTTGATAATTATTATGATTTTTATTTTCTTAATGGCCAGTTCTCCATTATACTAACCCTCTATCAGAATGTCTTTCCCCAGGTGTACATTGGGGCCATCGTGCCCAACGGAGCTGCAGAGAAGGATGGTCGCCTGAGAGCAGGAGATGAGCTCATCGGCATCGATGGTGTGATGGTTAAAGGTCGTTCGCACAAGCAGGTGTTGGATCTGATGACCAACGCTGCCCGTAATGGTCAAGTCATGTTGACTGTACGCAGAAAGGTCATCTACAGAGGTGAGCAGCAAGCAGAACGACGCTATGTTTAGCTGTTCCTTGGTAAAATAACAACTCAGTAGTTACCTTTAGCACAAAGCTGGTGGAAAATCCAGTGAGTCACAGAACTGGAGGATCATCACCTCAGCTGTGGATTTGAGGAATAGAGGCCTCGCACATAATGCTTGTGTAGTTATCACTCTACCTTTATATCCACCAGTGACCAGTGGTAAACACTTTCAACACGTACTGCTCCACTGTGACTTTGTAATATGTAGTTACAAGACGCCACTTTATTGCTTTTATTGGCATATTTCTCATACAAGAAATCACAGAAACTCTACACTATTCTGTAAAAGCCCACAGGAGTGCACACACCTAAACACATAAAACATTATTAAAAAAAAAAAACACATACTGTAAATATCAACATCTGTATCATTTTCACCTCAGATGCCACAGACGAAGAGGCTCAGGAAATGGCTCCAGTGCTGGTGAACGGTTCTCCCAAGCTACCTCGCCTACCGATGCCCAGCGCTCTGGACCACGAGTCTTTTGACATCACACTCCACCGCAAGGACACCGAGGGCTTTGGCTTCGTCATCCTCACATCGAAGAGCAAACCCCCGCACGGAGGTGAGAGTCGAGTCTCTTAGATCCTGCATCAGTAGTCTTTGTTTTTGATCCTTCTGATAAAAATGATATAAGTATGACATTTAACTGCACTAACCATTAACATCCACATCACAACTCATTTCTGCAAGGGAAAAATAGCTGAGGCCACGATAACTCCATTTTCATAAAATCATGATTAAATGCGCCATTATATACACAGCAAAGACAACAGGAGAAGGACTTATTGATCACAGAAATGCAGATGTTATGGTGAGATTTAATACATTATAGTATGTGGCAGTATTAGGTTTAAACTAGGCAGTCATATGGAGGATTTGAACATCTCCTATGTAGTGGTATAACCCAGTTCATAGACGTTTAGATAAAATGGTTATATGCCAGAAGTGATGTGTCTTCTCTTTTAAAGCTGTTAAATATTTAGATTTTAGTTAAACCGGAACAAAACCGTTTGCTGCTGTAAGGAGTTTTGCATTATGCTGGTCTTGTAAATACTGCATATTTTAAATACATCCCCTGATATCTGCCTTTTCAGTTATCCCACACAAAATTGGCCGCATCATTGAAGGCAGTCCCACCGACCGCTGTGGCCTGCTGCATGTCGGAGATCGTATCTCGGCGGTCAACGGGCGCTCCATCATTGAGCTCTCTCACAATGACATTGTTCAGCTTATCAAGGATGCCGGAAATGTTGTCACCCTCACTGTTGTTCCCGAGGATGGTGAGTTGCATTTGCTATAGTTGTGTGTGGGTCTTGTTGTGATTAATTCTTTTGATCTAGTTGTTAAACTTAGTTGTCTGCAAGGGGGGAAATTAGTTTTGGAGTGATCAACTGTGCTTTTAATAAGAAGGTATGAATATTTTAGTATCAGTGTTAAGAATTTAGTTCCAAATTGAGGTATTCCACATTTGAAAAATGGGACCACTGTTCCTCTGAAAGGATTGAATGAATGAAAATAAAACATGAGATCAATATTTATCTATAATTACTATATGTCTAATAATAATGCTTATAATTTAACTGGCAGTTCAAATCCTTCAAGAGAAATTAGTGATGAACCTGTTTCACTTAAAATGAGTATAAAAGATGATGTAGAGGGATTCCAGATTTGGCCGTTTTATACTGATCAAAATATCAAAATGTATTTCAGAATACAAGGGCCCTCCATCTGGAGCAAGTTCAGCCAAACAGAGTCCGGCTCTTCAGCACAGAGCCATGGGGCAAAGGTCAGCCCTTCAGGATGAACGGTAAGGATCTACTCACACACAAAATTAAAGCATAAAAACAAGTAGTGCTAGTAGATTTTAACCCCAACTATACACTGACTGCATTAACTACTTACCCAGTGCAGTACCCTATAGCAGTGGTTCTCAAAGTGGGGTCCCCAGGGGTCCTTGAGGATGGAAGTAACACATCCAGTAACACAGTGACAGAACGTTTTGGTCATGGGTTTCTAAGCTTTCTGTAATAAAACATCTAAAAGCAAAAATCTTATCAGATGGGGGTCTGTGGTCTAATTTGTGTCAGACAGAATATGCAACATGTAAATAAATCATATTATGGCATCATCATGGTGATATCAATGTTGTGATGTTGCTACCTGATCAGACAAATGATCTTAACCACAAAAAAATCCTCATTCAACATGAAGTAAAGTGTGAAAGAGGGAGCGTTGCCCTCAGAGCAAACAGCTTGAGAAAATTGCTCTCAACAAAGACACCAGTGTAATAAACATAAAACTGTTAATAAAAATAATCATTTGTACAGTATAGAAGATATACAGAACAAAATTAAAATATCCATATATTAAAAAATGCGGCTCTCCTCCATTTAACATCCAGCATTAAATTAGATTTCCTGTTTTGCATGATGGCTTTTTCAGTCTGTGGCCTGCAGCGTGCCGTTTACAGCATGTGTTACTGAGGAAAAACACGTGTTGTTTGTTGTTTTAGTTATAACCTCGACCTGGAGGAAAAAAGGGAGGGAGTCAACTGGTCTGACCACAAAACTCTTCCACTTAGTGAGCAGGGAACGCTGTGTGTGACGGGAACCAACCAGGTAAGAATAATCCTCTTATTCTCTCCACTATATGTTGTCAGAGCCACTATCTAAAGGTTAAAGCTGCTCAAAGTAAAAGTTTGTATGTTACAGGTACAAAAGCTTCAATCTTTATGACTGTGAAAATAAACCTCTTTTTTTCCGTATGAAATGCAGGCACATTCAATTCATGCACACTGCTATAATTATGATTTCAAATGATGCAACTTTAGGATCAATATAGATAAAGAATGAAAACATACCGAGAAGAGCAAGGATCACTCAGGTCATCTTTAATCAATAAAAAAACTCTCACTTAGAGTCTCACTGATTTAAAAAATAAGTAATCATTAAACAGGACGGCGTCTCAGTCATATGTTCAACAGAAATAAAACTCTGCATCTACATCAAAAAATGTTTCAGCTTTTGAATATTTACCCAGCCCTGTTTACAATATATATTTTCTTATATGTTGGTGTTTGTGCACGTGTGTGGAAATGTTTCTGCATTTCTTTTTGTGTCTGTATGTGAATGTATTGATGACTGGAGTGTTTTCTCTATGCTTGTTCTGTGTAAGGGTTGTCTGACAGTGGAGTTAGAGAGGGGTCCTAGGGGCTTTGGCTTCAGTCTGCGAGGGGGAACAGAGTACAACATGGGCCTGTACATCCTGAGACTTGCGGAGGATGGACCTGCTCAGCTGGATGGAAGGATCCACGTGAGTGCTCACGTTATTATTAGATTTATAGTTAAAATGTTTTTTAAAAAGTTCCTCATATCAACTCTGAACTGGGGAAAACAGTTTTTTGGGACTCACTGCTGCCCTTTTAAAGAAGCTATTTGTAAGTTTTGCTATTGCTACATAGCTTACATTAGCATTAACAGCTGTTTATTAGAAGAAACCTTGTGACTTTAGCATCAGACTTCATTCCTTTACTCACCAAGAGCTGTTTCCAGTGGTGGAAAGCAACGCCAATGTTAATTCTTGTAACTATCACATCTTTTCTCCTACTGAAGTTAGCATGCTAACCAGCTAGCCCCGGCCCGTCTCACCACCTTCCAATAGAGACTCACTGTAGCCTCCAGTGTGCCCCCTGCTCAGAGGACGTATTATAACCTCTTGTATTATAGAGACAATGATGGCCAAGCGACAATCACCACCACCCGCCCCCCTCAAGAAAAACACGTTCAGAGGCAGAGAAGTTACGACAAATTGCCCCTTTAATGCTCAGCTTTTTGAAATGTTTATAATATTTATGATTGTTTAAATTTTTTTTAAAATCTGGATACAATTTTGTATTGTGATGACCTCCTGACACGTGAAGTTTTATTTCCCCCTGTGGCCGGATGGTAGGTTCATAAGATCTAAACATTACTAGTGACCGCTGGAGGCTGCATTATCATTACATCCCACAGTATTCAGGGTTGGATGGAGAGCTGAAAATAATGTTTGACCTCAGGGGGCTTCTAGAAGAAAGGTCATGGGGTCATTAAAAGGATAATGAATGTTCTTAGAGAATTTCATTGAAATTTGAATATCAGATTATAAGATATCTTGTGTGAAAAGTTGTGGAATTTCCCCCAAGCCTGGTGGTTTGTCTACAAGAGCGGTCAGGGGGCAGTTTTGTCGAAGTGTGTCAGCCAGGACCAAAGTTTTGGACGAACGGTTCAACTGACTAACAAACAGATGTCACCACCATCGGGGCCCACAGCTAACAAGAAACATCTGGAAAACAACTCGATACTTGATGTTGCTCGATTAAATAAGTCAGTGCATTCTTGGGAAGCTCGTTTGGTTATTCTCAATGTTGTTAGATACAGTTTGGTGTGCTATTATGCAAATCATTACATAGCTGAAATCTAATTTTGCACGTTTAGTAGTTTATGGAGAGGAGAGGTAAATCAGAGGAAATATGATTTCTGTTGCCGTGCGTTGAATTCACCAGAGATTAAACTAATGAATTGTGTTTCAGCAACTGCCAGCTACAGTGCTGCGGGTACAATAGTGTAGATGCTTTCAGCTGTGATGTGTTTGCAGTATTTTTGTTTTTGTTTAGCAAAGCAATTCAAGTCTACACGGCACATAGAAAACATATAGCTGAGCAGTGAGTTGGCACACAGTCTTTAAGTCTGTTTCTATTTTTTATTTTGTTCTTATTTATAATTTATTTATATAGAGATTTTTATTGTATTTTCTTTGAAAATAGTTTCTTCCCAACAAGTTTTAGTGTTTCATTTGTTTTGTTTTGTATGTGACTTGGCTACTGTGACACAGGTAGACTGTATAGTATATAATATCATCTTATTTTTCTATCTATGTGTCTCTCTATTTATCTGTCCATCAATCCAGATTCAAGCTGTCATGTCTCTCTCTCTGTCTCTCTCTCTCTATTAAGTGTCCTTGAGTGAGATACTGCTCATTTCCAGGAAGGTCACACTGTAACTGAGTGTGTGATATAATGTATATGGATCTATACGTATGGTGACCCTATGTGCTTTTTCTCTATGGGGGGCGGGGGGGGGGGGTTCACAGCAGAATTAGAATTTTCCTACAGGGATGAAATGATCACATTGTTATTATTAGGATGAGAGAGGGAAGAAGGTGCAATGAGGGAGCAGAATAGAGGCTCCTAGAGGGAATCAATCTTAGGCTTGCCAGACTGTGATCTCTGGGCATGACTTTGCCTATCCAAGGGTGGTGAGGAGTGTCAACACTGATTAGAGCCTAACAGACTGACATGTTTACACGCTTTATCCTGAGTTATTTTGTCATCTCCAATAATAGAGGCTACCTCTAGGGTATTACAAGGCTGTGTGTGTGTGTGTGTGTGTGTGTGTGTGTGTGTGTGTGTGTGTATAGATTCGTTGAATATGTATGTTTGTGTGTAAGCATGCAGCTTCTGTATCTTTGACTGTGTGTAAATGCTCAGCAGTGTATGCAAAGCGCTGGTAGGTGTGTTTCTGTTTAATAGCTGCGCTTTCTGCATCACTGACAGGTGGGAGATGAGATAGTGGAGATTAACGGGGAGCCTGCACGTGGCATCTCCCATACACGGGCTATTGAACTGATCCAGGCCGGAGGAAACAAAGTGGTGCTGCTGCTGCGACCAGGGGCAGGCCTGGCTCAGGAAGGCAGTAAGTACAGTACACAAACAATTTATTCAATGAGAAATTCAATGTGTAATACAGGGATCTCCTCCAAACATTTTTAATTTACCTTTTGATATAGTATGGACTTCCTTTGTGCCTTGAAAGTTATTGTTTAAGTGTTAAATTTAATGTGAAGTATAGTTTAGTAGACAACTTTAGTACTTGGATGTAAATAACATTTACAAATTGAAAACGAAATCATCTGTGTTTCAGATAAGGAGATCTATATTAAAAAACATATAAATATAAAGAATAAAATTTATTTTTTGTATGTTTTCATTATAAACTCTTAAAGGAATAGTCTGACATTTTGGGAAATACTGATATTCATTTTTAGCCAGAGCTGGATGACAAGGTCGACACCACTCTCATCTATATCAAGTATTTCTTTTAGATATGTAGCTGGAGCCTGCAGATGCTTCGCTGAGCTCATCATAAAGACTGAAAGCAGCAGGAAATGGCTAGTTTGGCTGTGTTTATGCTTAATGCTTTCCTATCTTGATGCTAAACTAAGCTAAACACAGCTTCATATTTAGAGCAGAGATATGAGAGTGGCGCAATCTTCTCTTCTAAGTCTTGCTGTATTTCACAAAATTTAGTTCATTATTCGTAATCAAGTTTTAGCCAAGGCATGTTTGACTAATGTTAACAACAAAACTTTAGCAAGCAACTGAATTGGATTTATTTCCTAAACGTGTTAACACAGAGGGGATGATGACAGTAGTTCAATAAATGCTGAATACATAAATCCGCCTTATGTTTTGCTAATGATAATGACTTCGTCCAGTAATTGATGGAGCCTGTTTTGCAGTGTCACCCTTACTGATTTCATTTTACATCCTTTGCTGAGTTTTTTTTTATGTAATCATTAAATCTCTAACCATCTGCTTTGTTTTGACTCTTCTTCTCTTGCCCCTGACGCAGGTGGTACTGCTTCCTCTACTGTGTGCTACTACACTGAGCACCAACACTAACATCCTCACTGCTTTTACTGGCCTCTTCTCTTTTACCTTGGTAATTAGTTTCTTCCTCATGTGTTCCCTTTTTTAACCTCTTAAATATAATCTCAATTTTCCGCCTTCTTTCAGTCTTCTGTGTGACACATCTAATATTCGTGTGTGCACATGGGTGTATACATGTAAAATGTGTGTGCTTTCCTCCCAGGTCAACATGATCAAAAACTCATTTCACCCACAAGCTACTCCAGAGAGGTGTTTTTCTCTGACACATCACCCCTGTCCTCTCCATATCCCACCGGGGCTTCCATCTTTGTTTCCTCTCCCTTCTCCAGCAAACTGAAACATTCCCACAGCTGGAGCACCATATCCCCACAAGGCCTGAAGCCCCGCAGCAGCAGGGGTTTAAGCTTAGTGGAGGAGAGTGGTGAGTGGGCAGAGAAGAAGGTAGAAAGACTTTCTCCAGCCTCTGCTGAGCATATGAACTTCTACAAGAGGACCAGGCCCACAAAAGACTCCAGAGAGCTAAGCAGCCCAAAGAAAACAGGGGAGACATTTCCTAAAGCCAAAGAGCAACATCACAGTCCCAAAAAGACTGAGAGTCAGGCACGGGAAGAAACACTAAGCAGGAGCAGGATGTCTCAGACACACACAAAAACACAATCCACAAGCCCTAGGACGTCTCCTCAAGCTGGACAGCCAGTGGCTCCAACCCTGCAGCGTGCAGAGCGTCAACAAGGCCCTCAGAGGAGATTAAAGGACTCCTCCAGCAGAGAGAGCTTGAATCATGAAAAGAAAAATGGCAACGGGGGGAATATCGAGATCAGACGATACACACAAGGAGGAGAGATGGAAGGGAGAGGAGAAGGAATCAGGCCAGAAAGTTTTAAAAGGAGAGAGGTGGGACAATCTCACCGCCACAGGACATCGCCTCAAGTGAGAGAGAGCGAGAAAGGCGCAGGTAAAGACTCAGGGCGGAGAGATGCTAATGGAAAGGGCAAACCTACAGAAGACAGGAACAGAAGTAAAGAGACTATCAACAAAAGAGAATCATTGTTGTCTTTTGTAGAAAGGGGTAGGAAAGGTTCTGTAGTTTCGCCAAGAGAGACAAAAGGAAGACAAGAAGACAGTACAAAGGAAGACTTTGTGGCCTCTATAAACAGTTTTCCAGGGACCCCGCAGAGCCCGGAGGGACCTATTAGCCCTGGCCCTTGGAAAGTGCCCAGCTCAGCCAAAATCCTCTCCCGGGCAGAGGTTCTACGTGACCCTTTGTGATAGAATATTGAATCATCCAGACTTGAGCTGCGTCATGGAATATTTAACTGTACCTTCAGTGGATTGTTTTTCTGAGTTCTTCCATAAAATCGAGACGTGCAACATGGTGCCACTTTTATTACCTTTGGACCATGTGCAGATTTGTCTTTTGACAAGGTCTTTTTTTCTGGGAGTCCTGTGACATCGCGAGTGGCATGTAGCAGCTCCCCTCTGCCTTGTCTGCTGCTTCAGCATCTTTTATGTGGGATTTCAGCATGTGCAGCGTGCTCAGGGCCTTGTCAGACAAGATGTTTTGAAATGTGAATATGTGCCAATCCTGGGAGCCTCCTGTGGAACAACGACTACCAACAGCACTTCACCCATTACAATGCAATGACCCATATGCAAAGAAAGGAGAAAGGCCCGCGCCTCTCCCCTGTAGTATACACCAAGTGTGACTGTCATCCAGGGTTTTAATTTTCGCTCTCGGCCTCATTGTGGGATATTTTGACTGTCTTTTTCTTAAAAGTTTGCTCAACTGCATGCAGTCGGTCCTTCTGTTCGTTTTACTGCACGTGTTCTGCACATCAATGAGGATGATACTTTTTCTTGTTTATAATTCTCATTCTGAACACCAGGCAGATTTCAAATCCAACCCAGCAAGCGTTCACTTTACCGGGGACTTTAGACTGTTCTGTGCTTATAGACATGACTCTCCTCCATACAAACAGAATCATTTAAAAGACCAGAAACTTGTGGTTTGAGATCTTGTTTACCATGTGTATGATAACCAACCAGTGTGTAATTTATTGAGATAATAGATGAATATATGTATATGTAGCTGTACCAAGCCATTCCACATTTTGATATAGACTTCAAAGATTCGTCCCATGTTATTTGAGCTTTCACCTTATTTCCAATGTACTTCAGTGGTAGGACTTACCATGGATCTTTGTAGTTCATGAAATGTATAGGTGACGTGCAAACCGCTGTACCAAATGTTTGCAATCGCTCAAAACGTGTCTCATTGTGAAATATAATATAATATAATATATATATTTGAATGTGTCATGTTTTGCAGATTCTAACTTTAAAATATCTATTGAATTTCATTGCACTGCATCTGCCCTTGTAGCATAACAGTAACGACGAATGACCATGAGTTGTATTTAATTTGTGATGTTGACTTGCTACCAAATGCATTGACATTTAATTATTATTATTATTATTAATATTATTATTATTATTATTTTATAAATATGGTTCTTTTTTCTAAAAGGTTCACTGTTTAAGGCCAAAATTGCGATTAATATAATACTGTGTAAGTTTTTGAGTTATGCCCCTGGTCGTTTTTACCTTACCCTATTAAGAAAAGACAAATTAGGATTTTAAATTTATGTATTTGTCAATCCTGCTGTGTGATTATGTGCCAGGGCAGCTTGAAGGATCGTAGAGTTTAGAGAGTGATGTGGTGGTTGACACTGAGAAATACTGAGCAATGAGCATGTTGCTGATGTAAAGCAGGTATACAGAGAGCCCGCCTTCTTACGTACTGTATTTCAGGGCTAATTGAGCTGATGGCTAAGATAAACAATTGGTTCTAAAAGTGGGATCTGTTAAAATGAGAAATAGTCTAATTTCAAAGTTATTTTACTAAAATTTTCAAGCTTCCGCTGTAAAACCTGAAGAAGTAAAATACACTCAGCATTCTTACTTGTACAACTTATGAGATTAAGACATATTCAGATGAGCTCAGGGAACACAGTATCGTAGCAAATGTGTGATATAAAGTCAAGCGGTGGATAAGGTCTGTGATTGTCCAAGGGAGTTTTCAGGTTAAAAATCACTAGAGGATGCGCAATGAGCCAATCAGTGATATGTTTTTGTGCAATAGGTTGGTTGGTTGAATGAGTAAATCCAACCCAGAGTGTCAGGCACAGTCAGTTCACTCTGGTCCAGAATCAGATTATGCCCTTTTCATTGTACGTCTCCTGCACTGTAGTTTTCCTCCTTTCCACTTTTATTTTGATCGTTTTGTATCTCATCTCTGTATCATACTGTGGCCTTGCATCGCTTCATTAGAAAAACAATCCTTGTGGTATCTTCTACATTCTGTAGGTAGACAGTAGATGTAAATGTTTGTACATTGTACAGCACCTTTATAAATACTTGCTGAGTGCTCTTTCGGGGAGAAAAAATAGAGGTATATTAAAATCGCTCCATTATTTTTTTATGTGAAAAAAAGAGAAAATATTTAAAAATGGATTGAAAAGGACAGATTATGACCTTGACATGGTGTTCCGTTCATGCACTGAAAAATAAAGTTTTACTGAAAACACATTCTGGATTTCTTGTGCTGAAACCTAACATTGAGATTAAAACCATGCTATTCTATCCTGAACTGTATACCATTACACTGCCAACAGTCACAATTGTTGACAGAATAATCATTAAGGTGTCATGTGGATTAATTTGTTGCACACTACAATCCAACAACACTTTCATATGACAAAGCAGCATAGGCTGCTGTTACTATGGCAGATTTCCAGTTGTCATGGTAGCCGGCTGCTTTTCTCAACTGCATGAAGTAGATGCTTTTTCAATTAGAAGGGAAAGCTCAGAGGCATCTTATGCTACAAATGCATCATGTCCATTAAATATCCATATTTCAAAAGCAGGCATAAATCATCATGCTGAATTTGGAATGAGAATACAAATTAAATCTGCTCAGCGCACCAGTGAAACCATCACTGGCTTTAAATCCTCAATGAAATTCCAGTACCAGAGGTAGGAATTACAAAGATTATATAAGATATGAATGTAGTAGTACCTTATTGTATGTTTAACATAAAGCTGAAATACATGAAAATAAATAAATGACACACACCGAAGTACAAAAATTACTCAAAACAGCAACATTAATTAAGAGCTGTTTGCCAAAGGCTCTTTTGCATATTTGTTCTTGTGAGTGAATGATCTTTTAAGCATTTGTAAATCAGAATTGGGTTAGCTGCAGGGACCTTGTACAAATCAGGGTTCCTGACTGATACAATTTTACTTTAAGATTATGAATATTTGCTGTTTTGCTGTCAGGGACTCGACCAAGTGTGTATGTGATGTACCTCTGCAGTGCTTTCTGTCAAATTCATGCAGTTGGAGATTCACCTCTGAGATGTCCAATGCTCCCAGCTGATCACTGACCAGGTACAGCAGAGCAGTTAAGTACATCTTTGCAATTGTTTTGACTGCGTCACTGACATAGATGTATTGCCTGCAATATATCTGTGAATGACTGTAGGAACCTTTGTGCTGCCATTATTTTAGTGACCTTTAGAGACCTGCTTGGTTATTCAGAACTTGATAAGATGGTAGATGAGCAGTTTCAGTGGGTGCAGAGCAACTGGTAATTGCGCATGGTGCAATAATTGACTAAACTGCTTTAAAATGGCTGTAATATGACATGGAACTGCTGGTACTGATGATTTCATAGTGGAGGTAATTGTTCTGCAAAGAGCCATTGGCTTTGACCTTCCTTTTAAACCCGTCCTAAATTTATATATATATATACATATATATATAAATTAGATTTCTTTTTATATAGGCTATAGACAGTATAATATAAAATAAAACTTTAAGCTTCTCTAACCCTTATATTGTGTTTATTGCTTTTTCTGTCATAAAATATTTAAATTATGATCGGAATAAAGATCATTTTCTCAGTTCCAGGCTATGTGACCATCAACTAAGAATGATCTCTGATCTCTGGTATTTATAGATTTGGGTTCATTTAGAGAGATGAGTAGACATTCATATTTTTTCCTCTTATAGGCCTATAGGTTTGTACCTGTATTAGCTAGTATCTCCTCACCTGCTTTTCATTGACAAACCATTTTATTTCAGATCATAAAGAGCATATTTTTGCTGTGTTTTAAATTGGCGCAGTATTCGTCACTAATGTCACTTAAGTTACCCTGTGTGTATGTGGCAGTTTGATGTCTGAGAGGAGAATTTGTTTTGAAAGAGCTTTTCCATTTTAGTGCAGTTCATATTTTTCACCACTTGATGTCACTGACTTACAATGAAGTGTTTTGTCTATGTGGTTGCAGGGGGTACATCAACTTAGATTTGGATGAATTACTTTTAATAAACAAATAAATTACTTTTGTAGTATTAGAGATAGTACTCTGGGTTAGTATCATCTTCTGCTGAAGAGGTCATCGTTATAAGAATCCACAAGATGAACAAAAGGTGTAGCTTTTTGTTGTGAAAAACAGATCGTGACAGCAGGAAATAAGTACTTATGAGTCAGTACTCTGAGTCTTTTGACCTTGCAGTTTTGTGAAACGTGAATATCAGGGAGAAAAAACTCTCCTCATGCCATAGAGATAAGCAGATAAGCATGTGTGTGAAGATATGTGGTGTGGAGAGTTATGATCCTGCAGCTCTTACATCACGCTCTTGGTATGCCTTGCCACAGAAAAGGCAGGTGAACAATGCAGCAGTGGACAGATATTAATGCTTGGCCTGGAACCTCTGTTCCCCTTTATCAGCATGAAAATTGATGTTGTTGTTGTTGAGAAGGGAGTTGGACAGGGCACTCGGAGAGATAAGAAAAGCTGACTATGCCACCGCTCTTGGTTGGCTTTGAACTTGAGAAGCTGCTTGGCAAACTAGCATTAGTTACCTATTAATACTAGTTTTTAAAATGCCTTAAAAGGACATGAGGTGCACCACACTGTTTTTACAGGTCTCATTTTATTGGCTTTACATCAGTTTGAGTGTACTGGGGCATTTTACACTCACTTACTCCCAAACCAGTGAGACAGCAAGCTTCTTTTAATATCCTGCTTTTTAGTGACGTGACGTTGTAGTATCAAAAAATATCCCACATCCTTGTGTTTCTTCACAGCTTCAGAAAAACAAAACACGCACCAAAGACTACAGTTACGGGCCGTTAAACTTTGTTCACTCTCTGTTGCCAGGTTTCTGAGTAATCATGTGTGGCTTTCTCAGGCAACTCTGGGTGGAGGACACCGACAGCTCCGTGAGAACAAACTGTGGTTGAAAATGGGTGGTGGAGCAAACTCCGTGGAATTTACCCCAGCGTGTGTCTTAGGCAATGAGGTACAACCCCCTTGCTGGAAAAAAAAACAAAAAAAAAAAAACACTGAAATGTATCCATGACAATAACCCAAACCACAGACAGTGACTCAGGTTCTTTAATGTAATGAAAACTGCAATGAAAAAAAAGAGGAATCCTGACTATCACAATCCCTCCCTTATTTCTTGTTGAGTTGTTTCATGATGATGATGATGATGATGATGATGATGATGACGATTGACGTTAGTTTTTTATTTTATTATTATTTTACCATGGACACATATTGAAATTAAATTATTGTGATTTATCATCTTCTGGTGTTCAAAAGAGTCTCAAGTAGAACAGAATAGAATAGAATAGGGATTCCCCTTTTGAAGACTCAGAGAGGCAAGACCCCTTTTTCCAGGACACACCCATGATCTTTCCACTGTTTTGCCTCTGCAGCAGCCGGGGAGACACCTCCGCCTACAGCAGGGGGTGGAGTAACACCTAGCTGCCCTGACTCGTGGGCAAACTGAGAGTTTATGTTTATTAAAAGCTTGTCAAACTAACGCACATCTTTAAAGTAACTTTTTCTCTTGTTATCGGTTTATATACTTGTTTTTCTCACCTTGAAGTCGTTGTCTGTGCCTGCTTTCTACCGTAAGACAGTACGAGACTCTGGAACACTGCGGCGTTAAAGTAGCCGGTGTTTTAAAGCCATACTTCCTGTTCTACTTTTCAAAATAAGACTTCCGTTTGTGACACTGGCAAAATAAAAATATGAAAATCCTTTGGAATGACCTGGTGTTCTGCATTAACTGGTCATGAAATATGATCATCTAAGTAGCCCAAGCACAATGTGTTCAAGATAATAACACAGAAACACACCCATTAAGCATTTAACCAGCTCCAATTTTAGCCTTTAGCTGTTACTGGCATCATCTCAGCTGGGCATCCACTTCTAGGGACTGTTGCCACAGAAATAAATCATCTCTATTTATAGACAGTTTGTCTTAATGTGGATTGATTAATATCTAAACTCTTTGAGATGACTTTTAAACCCTTTCCAGCAACAATATTTGTTTATAAATCCTCTGAGATCTCTGTATGATTCACATCAGCAGATGCTTCTTGTGAATGGCAAACTCAAAATGTTTGAGTGTTTTTTTTATTAGTCAAAGTAGCTCTAACCCACACCTCCTATCTGCTTTCATTGATTCACTTCCACGTTTGATAAACTCCTGACTCCACTTAGCTTTTGTTAATGCTACTAGCCTCAGAGATCACACACTTTTGCCAGCCTACACAAAGTTTTGAACAATATTTTCAATATGGACAAGAGCAACACCACGACTTGTGTGTTATTGGTGAGAATAGATTGTGTTTGTTCATAATTGTGGCTTAGATGAAGCTTTGAACATATTTTAAGACTAATGTATAGATAAATGCAGGTAACTCTAAAGGGTTCACTTAGGATAGCTGCTGTAGGCGATGAATGAAACATACAGGAATGTGTATACAGATATTTAATATAGGCTATATGTAGCTATCACGTGAATCAATGCATAGCTGCTCCATAATGTGTTTTATATAGAGAAATATGCAAAAAAAAAAGCCTGCTACATCCCACTCTTCCTGAGAAGAATATATTCGCTTTTATTTTCTCAGTTCCTGTCATTCAGGCCATTGAAGTTAACTTGACCACAAGACAACATGGATATATGTAGTGCGTTTACAGGAGGGTCACTGTCGACAAGCCGCGGAGCTACTCGTGTGTCAGCGTTCATTCTGAAGAAGTAGGACTGAAAGTGACTGGATCAGAACCCTTTTGTCTCCCTCCGCAGCCCGACATGGACTTTTCACTGGACACCTGTGGACGGCGACGATGTCTGCTGTTATTATATCTCTTTGTCTTGGAGGCAGCAGGTCAGTAGAACATCAGCCTCGCAGTCTGTTTAATGAGATAATATTTATCAACGTACCAAGTCACATGAGAGTTTCAGAGAGTTTGAAAAGCTGTCAACGCCACAGAAAAACAACGGTTACTTATTGTAATGTCAGCTTCCATAAAATTACAGCGCAATAAGTTTAACTAGCAGCTTAACGTAAATACTAATAGAATTTTCTGTGATTAGTTTTGGAAAGTTTCTCAGTCCGTCATTGGGTACCTATTTGTAGTGCCACAGAAAAACGTTATCAGCTGTAGCAGATACAAGCAGACTGTTGATAAACAAGTATCAACATACTATAACATACACGTCTGCTGTATGCCTAAATCTATAATCCTGGTTTAAAATAGCTCAGGGCTGTGAATTGACTATTGAATTTCATTACATTTAAGTTTAATTTAGTATGAATTGTCTGGGAATGATGAACAGTCAAGAGAGGAGATACATTTTCTTCCATAAAATGCACTCCTCCAAAGATTTCTCACCCTAATATAATCAAATATTAGGCAAGGGAGCAAACTGGAACAGTTTATAAATCGTTTGCCAATATTTTGAAGATCAGTTAAGTCTTTAATAAAAACAACTTTCAGGATGTGAAAATCTTTTTGACCATTTTGAGCCTCTTAGGAAAATTCATTAGTCAAAAACAGCAATTAACATCTTCTTCAGAATCTTCAGATTAAAAACCTTTTATTAAGGACTTTTTTATTAATATTTGTATCTTTAGACTTAATGACTTACTATAAAGTGAGAAACCCATGAGTATTTATTAACGGTTTACCACACTTACTGTATAACTGGTTTCTCTTATAACCATAAACCAGTGGTAATTAATTTATTACCCAATTGCATCACTATTAATTAGAAACTTAGAAACTCTTATTAAAGAGGGGCTCATCTTACTTCATTAAAATAAAAAATAAAAGATAAAGATAAAAAATAAGATGATGTTGTTGATGTTGCCTCTTTGTCTCATTTTTCCTCCAGCCAACTGTCCTAACCCCGAGGGAAGGGAAAACATTGTCTTAACGACTGAAGCACTTCTGGTGAATACATTTCCAGAAGGCATTGGTGTCACTTTAGAGTGTGCTAATGGATACGTTATAGAAAGTGGCTCTGGGGTTATAAGCTGCACTGATGGGAAATGGACAGAACCAGATCTCATCTGCAAAAGTGAGTCCTGTTAACTTTCATTTGAACTCTACTGGCTCTTTTTACCTTTTGACAACCAAACACCTTTATTTTTTCTTTTGAATTTCCTGACATAATAGTCATGCAGCAATGTTCTGATCGTTTTGATATTACAGAGAAGGACTGTGGTCCCCCTCAACCTCAACCGCATATGAGTTTTGATACCAGTGATGGCACCCTGTTTGGTGCTGTAATAAAAGTCATTTGTGATAAAGGGTGAGTATAAATGTAAGAAGTATTGAATCTTGCCATTTCATCACTATCTGGTTGAATTACATCAGACATTGAATATTTATGTCATAAAATTAGAGAAGTGTCAAACATTCAGCAGCTCCAATGACAACACAAAGGAGGCACTCAGTAGATAGTCATGTCATGTCCATTTACACACAAGCCACAAAGCATCTCTTTTTGCCGTCCTGCCAACAGATGTCGACCAGACAACACTGGCAAACAGAGTGGCTGAAGTACAAGTGGATTTGCCAAACTTTAAAGAAATCAAAATAGTCCTGAAATAGAGGCATGATAAATAGAGGCACTCCCAGAAAGCGGTGCGTCATAGTTTCACTGATTAGAAACCTGGCTGTCTTCGCTCCTGGCTCTACAGAGCGTTGTTGATATAAAGCTCTTGAGTAAATTCTCTAAGAATTTAGTTTGTGGGTTGGAATTCCATTGCATTGCAAAAACATGGCTCTACAGTATTAATTCCTCCTAAAATAAATTGTTCTGTTTTATTTCCCTTCATCTTTCCACAGATATGAAATTAGTGGATTGAGCCACAAACACTGCTTTTCTAAAGGGTGGAATGGAAAATCCACGTGTGAAAGTAAACGTCTCTCATTTATCTTGTATTTCTTGAAACCACAACCAGGGACAATGAAACAGCTCTTTGGTACAAATGTTTCCACCGTGATGTGAATATGAAAACACCTGTTTGTATGTTCCTCAGTCGTAACGTGTGAGGAACCTGCTGAAGTGACCAACGGCCGGAGCCTCTGGGATGGTCAAGGTGAACCGGAATATGGACAGGTCATAACTTTTGTCTGTGATGAAGGATACAACCTCGTTGGTCATGACAGCATCATGTGCAATGAAAATGGTGAATACAATTTTGAGCCTCCTAAATGCCAAGGTAAGTCCATGTGTTTGACTTGTTATTCTACAGATTCCAGGTTATTCTGATGAGAGGCAGGGTGAAGTGGACCAAGCCTTAATCATACTTTTTTGTGAAGTTCTTTAGCGACCATGCAGGTTGCGCCATTGCATGTTTTAACACATTATTTATGAATATTCTCTATGAATACTGTTGACCATTTTCAAACCATTCAATAACATTTTAGGCTGTTTTCCATCAAGCTACTGGTTTCCATTCATTTCACTGCAGTATGAAAATCACTTTGCTCTAACTCGAGGGAAACTAACTCAATTAATAGTTGTCATCATTATTTTTCATCACTTACGTTATGATGATTAAGTTATATACTATTTTGATAATACCAGTTGTGAACAAAGACTTATCCCAAGTCTTGGTTGGTGCGTTCGAGGACGTTCCAAAATCATGGCGTCAAATGACAAAAAGCGTTGCATTCCCTAAGATTTTGATAAAAGTTGTGAATGCTCCAATGTACCACACCATGATAAAGTACAAGTTAATGTACATAAAAACATATGTGGACTGAAAATAAAGGCTGTGAAATGCTCACTGTGATGAATTACTGTACCACTCTCAAGGGTACTTCAAGGCTCTGCAAGCTTCTAACTGTAGTGAAATAAATTCAACACAGTGGCTTCCTGGAATGTAATAAATCAGTCAGAAAACCTCGGTTATGCTTTGAAAAGTTTCATGTGATGCAAATGGGCTAAAACATTTCAAACCACAGGCGTGGTCTTTTAATAACTTTTCAATCCTTCATGGGCATAAATAAGAAGCTTGCAAGAAGCAGTGGTCCGTCGAGTTTGGAGTGCACTTTCAGGCAGTTAAATGTTTATCTGTAAGATACTGTTTTCAATTAAGAAGAGTGCACTTGCATGTAGGTGTTGCCATGGTGTCAGTGGAGACACTCGGCATCGTTCATGCCGCTGACATGTTTAAACATCATCACTTATACCCTCTCTACACACTCTTCTAAATATAACAGCTTTACAACACTTTTCTGTCCACCATTCATGCCTCTGCTCACTCAAAGTGGTTTTGTTTGCTAACTGCCGAACTCATACGCTCCTTAACAGTTTGAAAGTGTACTGACTAAAGAGCAATCTCTGTCCAGAGAGTTGGTGATTGTCCTTCATTTAAATATTACACTGAATCATGGTGTGAAAAATAAATGGATGATTCCTCCCATTTGACTTTCTCCGCTGACATTGAGAGGCATGTTAATGATGCATTACTGTCGTTTGTAAACACAGCTCACTCTGCATGTAAAATGAATCATGTGCATGTTCCACCACCGGCTTCACAAGTGGCTGATGAATGATATTAATTGTAACCACAGATAAGTTTAGTGATGTTCTTGTTCATAGGTGTGACAACAGAAGATAGAATTACAACAACAATAGTAACAACTACTGCACCTCCAACACAAGGTAGAGAAATATTTTACAAAACTGAAAGAAATCTTTGAAATATTTTAACACTGAAGAATTTAGAGATTATAATTGATATACAAGAAATCAAAAAATCTTTCATTTATACAGTGATTTATTTTCCATGTCACAGCAGCGTCCACTTCTACGGCTTCATCTGCCACATCCACAGCTCAACAAGATAAAAATGTAACAACCAGTGCAACACCAACTGTCTCACCTTCAGCACGAGGTACAGAAAACTTGTCTCCAAACGAGCTGATCGGCATGTAATTAGACTGAAAACCTTTTAGGCACAGCAACACTTGGCAGCATGAATAGATTATGTGCACGCCGCATGAGTTTCAGAAATGGCTTCTCAGCTCAACAAGACACTTTTATCCTGTCCAAACTCCAAACCAAAAGAATCCTTCTGATCCTTCTGTTCAAAGGTGGCAGAGACATTTTCACAGCTGAGGATAAAGCTACCACAGCCAATGTAACACCAACAACATCTTTTCAAGGTAGAGAAAGATTCCTTAAGAAATTAAATGAGAGTTTGAATCTTATTTTTAATCTGTTTGCTCTGTAATTTCACATAATTTCATATAATTTATTGTCATCACTGAGGGGTGAAAGAAATTCCAGGTCTGGCCTTAGATGTTCTATCATTATTATTATATAATATGATGTGAACAATGTAACTTACATTTAGAGAATGAACATTAGTATCAGGGTGGACAGCTGACACTAAACCATCAGACCAGTCAGCTAGAATGTACATGTGCTCGTAGCACGTTCATTGTCTTTCTTAGTTATTCAGTTCACTTTTTAGACATGTCTGTGAGTACTTGAATTAACAAATATAACATAACATAACCAATACTCTAAAAAGAATAATCAGATATTTTGGGAAATATGCTTTTTTGCTTTCTGGCAGAAGTTTAAAACAAGTAGTTGCACTTTAATGAAGGGGTTGGGGGGCATTGATGGGGTAGGGGTTTTATGTGTCAGGCTATTTCTTGCCTCTGAGCTGTTGCCAGACGACCAGCAGACACTCCAGGAAGCTACTGCTCACAGCCAAGATAACCCGGCACATCACCCAACCTAAAAGGGGTCATCACGAGTCATAGACACTTGACGTATTTAAATGAGTTGCTGGAAGAGGGATTTTGTCATGCTAGCTGTTTCCCCTAGCCTGTGTCTTGATGCTAAGATAAGCTAACCATCTGATGTCTCTAGCTTTGTATTTAACAGGCACATACTGTATGAGTGTGGTGCCAATCTTCTCATTTAACTCTTCACCAGAAAGCAAACAAGTGTATTCCCTTTAATACTGTAATGTATGTCTCTAGGTTTTCCTAGTTGATTGTATTTCCTGCAGATAAAGGCTGATTTAAAGCGGATAATAAGGATTTTAATTTACTGACGGTAGAGAAATGTAATTTAATATTCTCAGATGTGTCCTCCTCCCTCAGTCCCTCTCCCATTTAATATATTAATGTCTTTGGTCTTTTTCAACCTCACTGATCCAACACAGAGACATTCAGACGAACAGGTTGAAAGCAACACACATCAAAATAATTTGAAAGATGCTATAATTACCTTAACCTGTACACATAGTGTATTTTAATCAGTTTGTAACAGACCTTCTCGTAGCTGTGTGTTGAATATGTTTTTGTTTTCTGTTGTCTGTGTCAGTTGAAATAGTTTATGTACTAATAATACTGTTTCCTACTTGCAGACAAACATGATGGGACTGTAATCACTAACTCAGATACTGGTGCGTTATTGAGCCCTCAGTCCTACAATAGATCTTAACCAGGGTGATTGTTTGCTCTGTGTTTACCTGTGAATGTGTCTTTCAGGATATGTGAATGTTATAGCCTCTGTGATAGGCATTTCATTAGGTAATGTACTATTTCTCTTATTGGAATTCACACATTACCAAAATTTTGCATTTGAAATACAAAATATAATAAATCGTTTTTTGTTTTTTTTTTCCTTTACAGTTTCATGTATAGTTGTCTACTTTTTACACAAGTTTCTTCTGAGGAAAAAAGGGTGAGATATATTTTTCATAATATTTTGCTCTTTCATGCATGGCTCATATGTCATTGTGATTTTTATCCATCTGTTGCTTTTTCTGCTCGTTTCACCTTTTTATGGTTTACATAAACGCACAGTAAAGTACAGTTCAATATTAGTTCATATTTATATGAGCAGTGCAACATGCAGTGAAGTATTATGGGGTAACTCTGCAGCAGGTTCAGGTTTCCTCACTGCTTTTTGACTCATTTAGGGAAATCTAGATGTCTGTGTTTCCGGACTTGTGCTCAGGAATGGGAGGTCAACAGGAAATCCTTTAATAAAAACAGCTGTGACATAGAATTTATCAGTATCAGGACAATAATTCCCCTCAGGACAGAATGAATTGGAATGAATGTCTTTAATGATCAAGTTCACTAAATGTAGAGGAATTTATATAAGTCAAAACCATATGCAGGCTGACATATTTTGTGATTTATGTGTTGACTTTTTGTTAGACATTCATGTGACCTGAATTTGAAAAAAAAATGTGCAAGCTTTTAACTATGAAATAACAATTTGACATATATAATCTTGTCAACTCGTATTAACTACATACTCATATTGAGCTTCACATTGCATTAAGCCAAGATTAAAAATTACTCAAAAAAAACAATCAATCATTACTCTGCGATGACTAACACTAATATTGAGAATGCAATAATAAAACATTTGGTGGACTAATAAAAAATTAACATAAAACATTTCTGACACAAATTCCTTATTTGGTGACACCATAGCTCATATGACACCAGAGAAGACCTGAAGCCGGAGTTATTACAGTTCCAAAATCTTTAGATTGCCTTCCTCACTCAGGTATCTGTCAATTCCTGTCTATTTATTACCAAAAAAACATCAAAATACCTCTAAAAATATATTTAAGCATGGTTTACTTGTTCATTTTACTTCACATTAACTTACAGTTTTTAAATTGGAAACATAGATTGTCACAAGTGAAGCCAAAAAAGCATGAATTCTGATTTTCCCCTTTTTTGCACCACTATGTGAATGAAGCTCAAACGAAACGGTTTTTCTCTTCATTTCTTGTCAACACCAGCTCTGCAAATGGAACCGTGCCTATCTCTTAAAGAGCATCTGTTACCCAGGAGGACGTGCCAGCAAACTGTTACACTGCCTCCATGAATCGATGGGGGTGAAAGAAAGAGAACTCACTTTTGATATTATTGCACTTGAAATGGCAGATAATCAGATCTGCTGAGTAGTATCATGATTTAAACAGAAGTATAGCATTCCAGTGATCAAAAGCACATTTTATAGTGATGCTTTTTTTATTTTTTTATTTCCACATTTTTTTAACACAAAATTGTAAATATTTTATTTCACTACTATTTTGTACATTATTTATATAAAAACTGGAGAAAACACTTCAGTATTTCGTCCATGTTTTATGAAGTATTGCAAAGTTATTTAAAACAAAACATTTTAGTTTGGAGTTTTTGTGAAATTTTAAGTTTCTGTGTTATTAATGTGCTGTTTTGTTTGCACAGAACCATGAAAAAGGTGATTCAAGAGACACACAATGTGGTTAATTCAACTGATAAAGATACAATCAGCTGCATTCTTCGCCTCCCGACTTTCCTTCCTTCATTGTCAATTGTTCTGGAGTCCTTTTAGTAAGCTCTGCAAAATAATGGGAGACCTTGTTTCATGAGAAAATAATTGAATAGAGTACCTACCATCAATGAACCATGTAACTGCACTAGCTACTGTACAGTATTGTGAGGGGAAAAGTGATGAAAATGTTTGTGACCTTGACTGGGTAACTGTGCCAGTGGAGCAAAAACTTGTAAAAGTTTGTTAACCATTCATTTGAGTGGAGAAGGCTTTTTTAGATTTTACAAAGAAAACCAAAAGATCAAAATCTTACTGTTGTCCACTGCACAGCATGTTATGTAAAGGGGTCGAGAGCCTCTACTCAAAAAATGACACGTGTTAAAACATTGTCTACATCTTACAAAGTAGCAGCTTCTTTTTTCTTAGAGGACAAACTAAATGAACACATTCACAGTCATGGCAGCGGTGAAGGACCCAGCCATTATCCTGGCAGGGGTTTGCACAGTACAGAGAAAAGCCCTGTAATAAAATGTGGTAACAGTGTTTCATTGTACCATGGTCTGCTGTCGTGCCAGAGGCTCGAACTGTGGCCTTTTAGGGATCAAAAGAGATGGTTTCTTGACTCTGCTTCAATAGAACTTCCAGGTTTCATTAAATCATCTTTGGTCATTTTGAAAAAACTTGAGCTTTATCTGGACAATAATTTGTAAAATCATCTGGAAGAGATGAACAAGGTCATAAACCGGATATGTATTCATGATTATAATGATTCATCTAAGGTATAAGGACAGACAGTTTATTATCAGAGAGGAGGGGTTTGCTGTGTTTCTCAGAGAATCCTCCAGTCAACTAATGTGTCAACTAACATCTTAGTTTTAGCATGCTACCTTGCTAACATTTGCTAATCAGCACTAAACACAAAGTACAGCTGAGGCTTTCGAGAATACTATTAGTTTTGCAGATATTTGGTCATAAATTTAAAAAAATTACCCTTGTTGTGGCATTAAAGAAAAATTCAGTCGATCACCAAAGTCAGTAGGATTCATCCTCTAGCGACTGCTTGTTCAAAATTTGATCATAATCCATCAAATAGTTCTTCAGATAATCCAGTCTACACCAAAGTGATGAACTGCCAAAGCTAACTGTGGAATATCATCAGCTTTATAGCTTACACAAAACATCACAACAAAACCAAGAAATCAAGAATACATGCTGCGACTGTTGAGGGATCATATGAAAGTCACATTGCAGGGAAATCTTTATAAGTGCTGAGTAAACCTACAGTCAACACAGTGGCTTTCCCTTCCATTCACACTCAGTCTCTGGCTCAGAGATCCAGCTTTGTAACCATAGCAATGTTGTACACGTAAATAACAATGTACGTATTGGCAATGTCAATCAATGCACTGTTTTTAAGGTGAATAAGCATTTTTGTCATTTCTCAAGCTTCAACAATCCTTTGTCAGATGTCTCAACACAACACGTTAAAACCTTAGTGACAGTAGGAAACATGCTGGGTGTCCTCCCTGTTTCAGAGAGTTTTCCATTCTCTAAAGTGAAAGTCACTGATTCCTCCTCCATCAAATCCTGTTTTTCCACTGCATTAGTACAGTACCACACCCATCCTGGCTCACACTGTATCATCACTGTTGGAAAGCCTTAAAGACCATGTATCTCCTCTGAAAGACTCTAAAAGACAGACTTGTTTTTACACTGAACGCCCTTCAGGCATTTCCAATAGTACCCCTTTGTCTTTGAAATAGGATTCGTAAGCCCAAGAATTTTCACACGATAACATCAATATGTATAAATGTATGTATGTATTCCATTGGACTTCTTTGAGCCCTAATTCTGTTTGTGAAGGACACTCTGTTCATTCTCTTTGTGGGGAGTCAATTTGTACTTTAATAACACAAATTCAAAGATGATGACAACATTAATGTTAAAGGTAAACAAGACTTATATAACGCTTAATGCTTTAATGTTTTACTGTAAGTGATGTACAATATAGAATATAGAATAAAAACACAATAATGTAATTGTATCAGCAAATCAGGACAGAAGCTATTTTTATGCACACATAAAATATCTATTTATAAAATAACATTTATTCTGTGGCCCTTCATATAAAGTGTGTATAGGTCATGTACTAGTTGTTGTACATGTTATAATACACATCTTTGAGCTTTAAAGAATTGTAAACTCACCTATGAAGCATTTGTATGTGTAATAAACAAATATTTATGGGGCGTTCATGTTGGTATGAATTTTTTTTTTGAACTTTCTGTAAGACAATGCAACATTTTATTTAATACATGTCTCTGTGTACATCAATATGACTTATGTCACTTCAATAGGATGTATAATACAGAGAGATTTACGTACTGTATGTCATAATATATTTGATAAATGCTAATACTTTTTTTCTTATGAATATATTATCAACCACATAAAATGGGTGTTTAAATGTGCTGACAACAACATCTTAGTGTGTTTCAGAACATGAACGGACAAAGTTAACACGGTCAAAATCAGTCATTCTCTCTCAGGAAGTTTGAAATTGAATGCAGTGCATCACAGATGGATGTTTAACTGTCTCCCATCACATTAACTTTTCAAGATCATGATCCCATGATCGCTCTTTGAACTGTGTCAGTCCACAAAGGAAGAAATCTCCTCATGAGGCCTGTGTGAGACAGGGGGGAACCTCACTGCAGAGGAAATAATGTGGCTCTAGACATGAGGTAAACAAGAAAAGGAACTACTACACACCCACTCAGACTATAACTCATGTTTCTGCGGTACTGTAGACCTGGCAGCCTGACCAAAATAAATGTCATCTTGACTGAATCACTTACATGGTTACACATATTGTGGTACGTGTGGTCAGAGTGGTTATGGCACAATAGATTTTGCTGTGGGGAGGGAAATAAGAAAAAAAAATGGGAATGAAGCTCCTCTTTAAAGTTGTTCTCATGCGTGGGGCGGATGAAGATCTTTAGGCACAAGACAAACAAGACATAAATGCTTCCCACTGAGGTTTTGGCATTAGACCAGAAACAGATGTTTAGTATGAATAGTCTACCAACACTTTGTGATCTCAAAGTAAATGTTTGACAAGCCTTTTAACAAAGCTGCTCTTAGTGTAAGCACCGTCAACGACATGGATAAGTTTACATGAGCAGCCTACTCCTACTTTCACTTTAGTAAGAAACCCCATAACCATTACGTCAGAAGCATATCAGCTCTAAAACACTGTACATTATATGGGCCTTAATACCTAATGACTGTATCTGCCAGTGTCTGTAACTCAGGTGTGCGGAGGATGAGAAAGTAAGAAGGGTTTGAACTTGTGTCTCAAGTTTTTCCTATCTTTTCTTGCTCCTCTTTATGACAGCCATCTTTTCACCTCCCTGTCGGGCATGGGTGTTTTGTTTGGAACACTGGTTGGACAACATGCTTTACAAACTAATCTTTTTCAAGTACAACCAGACTTTGACTCTAGCACAAGTAGAGAAGGATTGCAAAGTACAGCAACTCTGAAACATCTAGCTAAAGTTTGCTAACATTAGCCACCAAAAAGTACTGCTCATACCAGACCAGGTGAGGCTGTAGCAGTAAAACCTGTGTGTAATGAGTGGAAAAAATGTAATGTGTACAAATTCAACTTTTCATTAGTGAGAGAATAAACGTGCTGTTTCTCCTATCCAAAAGTCACAAAGTCGCACATTGAAATTCCTCTTTTTATTCTTCCAGTATTATCTTAATGTTTATGTCTGCAGTGACCTATCTAACTTTCAACATCAATCCTCCTCCCACATCTGCTGCTGAAGCCAAAGGAAAATTCTGACTGTTATTTATTGCAACCAGCTACACCAGTCACACTTGCCACATCACAATGAAAGAGGTGTGGCAAGTCAAAGCGAAGCGAGTGGAATCAAAAATTGATGATGCGGATGATGACGTCATGTTCGATTGAGAAACACCCTGTGATTCACATTCGCTCAAGTGAAAGGACACCGAATGCACATGGTCTTGTTTGCTGTTGATATAGCAACACACTCTGCTATGAATATATCCTTCCCCATTTGCCAGGCCTGGCTTCTTGCACGCACCAGAGATAAAAATAATGCGGTCATGCTGTGGGTAGAGGTTTCTACATCTGACTAGTCTATCCATTCAGTATTTTAAGCTTAAAGCATTTATACGCTTTGATTGAGCTCAACAACCCTTATCACTCTGTTTGAAAAGGTCAGCAGGTAGTGGGGCGTCACTAGAGAGCTGTGGTGGATGGCAGTAGTTAACAGCTAACCCTGCCTGGACAATGTTGGTCTCTTATAAGAATAAACGTCAAAGAAGAATATGAAAAGCTTTGAAGAGACTATTCTGTTTCTGGTGGTTGAACAGTGTCAAACGATGCTAAGAGTGATGGCAGGTCTGTGTTTAATAGCTCAAACAGAGCCAGCAGAGGATAAACACAACTGAAATAGAAGTGTCTTGCCAAGTACTGTAACTATAACTGCTCATTTGCACAGAAAATATTTCCCCATAAACACAAGAAGCAAATGACAGCTGGTACATGTGCACTGACTACATGTGCTGTGACAATGCCACAATGCAAGCAAAGTTTGATGATTAAAACAATGGGAATATAGCACATTTTGGCAGTCAGTGCAGTTATTTCTTTGAGAGCAAACAGCATTTATATGGTCAGGTGCACATAAACAATTAAAACAAACTGCTGGGTACATTAGTCATACTCCACCCATATGGTAGTTAATAAAAGGCTATTAAGTGGGTAAATGATATGGTAAGGCAGAATGAAAGAGTTTCAAAATCTGAAACCAAAAAAAAAATTGTGGCTTATTTTGGAGTCACATAAATGTAGTTTATGCTACTACTGTACATGCTAAAATGAATCTTTATGTATTAGAACTAGACCAAGTTCCATACTTTCTTTTCCTGTTAACCTTGGCAGTGTGGGTTAATCATCTATACATTTAATTACGAATCTTCAATCATTTATTAAAAATGGACAACTTTATTAATGCATATGCCATCATGTGACATGTGGAGGGCAACAGGGTGGACACTTACAGACTTCATGCTTTAGGCTAATATTGGCTCTCATTCGCCGTCTAGTCTCCACATAATGGTGCCTGAGAACATCAGACAGGCATGGATTAAAAGATTACCTGCTATAATTAAATTTAATTTAAAGCTCAAAAACTGAAAAGAATTGCCTCTGCTCTGGGGTCGAACAAGTGACAGGTTATAATTATAAAAATGGTTCAGCCATTAAATGTCTGTCTCTCTTCGCTAAAACTGAACTGAGGGGACATGGTGATGACAATCAAATAATGCAAAAACTGAACTTCAACATAATTTAAATAATTAGCATGTAATATTAATTGACACAAGGAATGTATGTTACATTTCTATCAAAAAAAAAAAAAAAAAAATCCAACAACAGTATAAGGATGAAGCCAAAACCTCTTCATCTACGCAATGAGACTTAATTAAAGAAACACTGTACAACTTAAAGTAAAACCAGATTTATTTTATTAAAGTAAATACAGTATGAACCTGTGTTAATTTAACTGTAATTTGTCACTTTCTATTATATGTAAATCTAAGAAAACACTCATAATTTTGACTCTTCAGCACTGGGCAGGTACATAACCTCTGAACTACTGAAATATTTAACCAGATATTCTTTCTTTATCATCTGAAGTAGAGGATACAAGTGACGGTATGGTAAATTATTTAAGGTAAAAGAAGAACTTTTCATAAAGTTTTGTTTTCATAAACTTTTCTTTCTTGTACTTGATCAGGGTTTTCATTTACTTCTTCAAAGATTCCAACAAAGTTAGTAGGCTTGGACAATAGCATGGTCAGCAGTTCAATGCTGCCATCTTCTGGTGCTTTGAGGAAGTTTGTTGATAGTCCCTCCACATTGTAACCGATTTCAAATGGTGCTAGACATGATGGTAACTCTGAACACCAGAGGAAAACGGTCAACCTTGGTGAGAGGGGAATCAGGTGGTCAGAAGACTGAACTTTGACACTGTTCTCTTCTGATAAGTGGAACATGAGCTGTATGGACAACTGGTTGAGAGCACAAACCGACACAAAATTACATCAGTGACTATCACAAATCTGGACTAATTTGCAAAAATATAGATGCGTTTGCAACCAAACTGCAATCCTGAACCTTCCGGCAACTTCGTGAATGAGGCTGCTCACTGTTGGCATTCTTGAAGTCGGTTCCTGCTCAAGAACACCGATTTCAAATGGTGCTAGATGGGATTTTATACTCTAAGTCACCATCTGAAACCAGTTTCCTGGGGAGGATGCCTTTAAGAAATACATTTGTCCACCTGAAATTAGAAAAAAAACAAAAACATTATTGTCATCACTTTTGAACATAGTACACATAATTATGACGACATGAATCGACATGTTGAATATATTTCATCAAGTAAATTATTCTAATACAATCAATGAAAGAGGTATATCATATCAGTGAACACTGAAAAAGACAGAGTAACGCTATGCCGGCAGTTAGTCGTATAACCTATTCCTTTTAGTTCTGGCAAAGGAAAACGAATTCCATTTCTTTAGGGCACATACTGTATCTGTGGCTCTCATGGCCATTTGATTGGGAGAACTGTGATTTCTTAGTCACATAAAATAAAATTCCCCTTTTCCTTATGTAAACTTCTGCAGTTTGTTTGAAACACTGCCTCTCAACTTTAGGTGTGGTGTTAAAATTACATTAAAGAATGTCTGATTACCATCATCTCGTTTATTTATTAAATTTATTAAACAGAATACCCACCTGTTTTATCACATTCACTGTGAAGCAAAATCTCTATACATACTACATTTTACTCGTTACAAAAACTAATACATGCTAAAGACATAGCATATTTTAGTTTATACACTGCTCAGTGTGAGATAGTCCCCGAGGTCTGTGTTTGAGCTGATGCTGTAAAACTTGGGGTTCTGGCTCTTTCCAAAGAGAGAGACAGAAGAAGAACCAAAAACTCGAGAAGATGCAGACTGTTTGCTGGCACCGAGACCAACGAGTAGAACCACTGAGTCATGGCCAGCACATCTAAGAATGACACAGCAGCTCAATTCCTTGCGTTATAAGTGCATCAGATGACCACGATCTTAGTATAAGAAAGGGTACGGCAGCAGACTGGCACCAGAGATGAACCCCAACAAAAACTGTCTATGAAT